TTGTTATATTTTCATTAAGAATTCTTTAAAAGGGGGAAAAAGAGAAGACAAAAACAGATAAAAAAGAAAGCACAAAGTGAATAAAGAGCACTTTTATAAGCATAATAAAATTAAATAAGAATGTTCAATATTGCACTAATTAATTTTACATAACTGAATGTATTTTAAAAACACATCATTGTTAAAATCCTAATAGTATATATATATCAACAGAATAATTGTCTAAAATCTACATTAAGGGTGGAAATCACACATTTCTGTACATGCAATAGATTTGTCCTTATTTAACAGATCATTGAATGGTAAAATAATTTATGTTAAGAGAACACAAATTTTGGATGTGATATGTGTGAATGTGTGTGTGTGTGTGTGAGAGAGAGAGGGAGAGAGGGAGAGAGAGAATTATAAATCCCCAAAAATTTGATTCTGTGTCAGATTTGCTTTTCAAACATGAAGTTATTTTGGATATCAAAGCAAACTCCCATAAACTATTCTTCTGAGGAATTATAGGTGTTTTCCGATACAAACCATAAAATGTCTTTGCAGCAGTTACTATGTGTAAAGCTAGTTTCTGGGCATGTAAGATTTAGTAGGAGTTTTTAAAATAAGTTGGAAAGGAAATTTAGCTTTTGGAATTTGTCTCCTCCTATTATAAATCTTTTTTTCAAAATTGCTGAGCATTACAGCATAGCCACTAAACAGGAAAAGCGATTCAACCTGATTGTTATGTTTCCAACAATTTTTAAAAATGAACTGTCCATTTTATCAATCAATAATGGAGTGATTTCCAGCAGTAAAAATTCCTATATCAGTTTTTTCTAAGTATGATATTCAGTATAAAAGTAATGTTTTTTTTTCTTGAAGCCCTCATTGCTGTAATGGGTATCATATTCACTAGGAGTAATGGTATATGAGAATGATCTTGGGAGATGGGGGAAGTGCCACAGAAGAACAGCTGGATAGGAGGCAGCTTTGCCTGTAAAAGAAATCTGGGCATGGCAAATATCTCTGAAGGGATATTCTCTAGTTTCTTGGTCTTTAAAGGCAACAGGGGAGAAATATACTTTCAGACTTTCAAGATTCTGCTAATGTAATCTTATAATAAAGTAGAATTAGTCCATCTGGTTGTGCTTTCTGTTTGGATTACCTTGCCTGGATTACCTTACTAGGCTGACACTATTTTTTGGTTTTGAGGTTGGAATTTTAGTATAACAAGGATGTTTGTTATAGTATAACAAAGATGATTATGATTAGGAGACTGGAGACTAAAACATATGAAGAATGGTTGCAGGAATTGGGTATGACTTAATGAAAAGATGGATTGGGGTGACATGATAGCAGTGTTCCAATATCCAAGGGGCTGCCACAAAGAAGAGTGGGTCAAGCTATGCTCCAAAGCACCCGAGGGCAGGACAAGAAACAATGGATGAAAACTAATTAAGGAGACAAGCAACCTAGAACTAAGGAGAAATTTCCTGACAGAATAGAACAATTAATAAATGAAATGACTTGCCTCCAGAAGTTGTGGGTGCTCCAACTCTGGAAGTTTTTAAGAAGAGAGTGGACAATCATTTGTTTGAAATAGTTTAGGGCTTCTTGCCTGAGTAGTGGGTTAGATTAGAAGACCTCCAAGGTTCCTTCCAATTCTGTTATTCTGTTATAGTTACAGATACTATGGATCACAGGTAACAATAATAGTGAGAAGAATTTGGACAGGTTTTGATCTCATCGTAAGGTTTTTGAATAACCAAATAATGTCACAACTAAGATACAGTATCTATCTATTTATTTGCATCCTGCCTAATCACCAAAGAAGATGGTGTTTTATGATGGCAAACTTAATTCAGCAATTCTGGACAAAGAAGAAAGAACTGCAGCTGTCACATTATATAGCAAGAAATTAATCTTCACTTTTTTATCCTAGAAATTGGATGAAAATTTTCCATCAAAAGTCAGAGAACAACATATGCATTGTCCTCATGTTGCATGTGGAAGGATAGAGCATGTGGAACCTAATCATCATGGGAAAAATCCCATGGATAACTATTTGGAGAAAATCTTATGGATAACTATTTGAATAAATATTTTTCTGTGTAAGTTGGAATTTCTCTTAAGTATTCAAACATGTTTTGTGGATTGGATCCATTGATTGTTCATGGATCCATTTTGCTTTCATAGTAACTAGTCTAGGATAATGTGAATATTACTATAAGAGAGAACTTCTTGCAGCTACATGTGCACCTAGCCAAAACTCACATTAGACACTGACAAAAAGTTGCCATCATCAAAGTGTCAAGAACTCATTCTGAAAATTTTAACTTTTAATAGAATTATATACCACTTCACAGTGTTTTACAGCCCTCTTTAAGCAGTTTACGGAGTCAGAATATTGCTCCCAACAATCTGGGTCCTCATTTTACCTTCTTTGGAAGGATGGAAAGCTGAGTCAACTTTGAGCCTGGTGAGATTCAAACTGCCAAATTGCAGTCAGCCGGCAGTCAGCAGAAGTAGCCTGCACTCTAACCACTGTGCCACCGTAGGTCACTGTAGCTGTGATCAAATAACAATAATTTAATAGTTAAGAGAAGTATTTTGAAGACAGTATCTCTTAAAAGTAATATTAATTCCTTGGAAGATTTTAGTCTCAGTATTTTTAGTTTAAAGACACATTATCAGTTGAGATTAAGTTTTGTGAAAGTGCTTCAATTAATATCATTAAGTGTTGTACCTTATGATTCTTGATGAACGTATCTTTTATTTTATGTACGCTGAGAGCATATGCACCAAGACAAATTCCTTGTGTGTCCAATCACACTTGGCCAATATATAGTAGTTTCAGCTCTGTTGCTATTTCTTTTTGGGGATAATGGAAGAAGACAGCAGAATCACACAATTTGTGCAGCATCAATAATTTACAAAGCTAAAAGAATGGAAGATAGATGCTTGTTATTCTTTAATGTTTTGTACAGGAAGATTTAGATGCTTTGCTTAGTTGCTTTATTAGCAGCAGCAGTATTCTATACTATTAAAATAAATATAAGTAGTCCTCGATTTACGACTATAATTGAGCCCAACATTTCTGTTGCTAAGTGAGATGATTGTTAAGTGAGTTTTGCTCCATTTTATGACCTTTCTTGCCACAGTTGTTAAGTGAATCACTACTGTTGTTAAATTAGTAATAACGTTGTATTGAAACAAACAAAATGTTAAAAAGTTATGATATTTATAATTATGTAAGTATACATAATATACTTACTTATATTAAAATAACCAAAATATCCCTCAAGGCATGTCATAACTGTTGAGCACCCCTAATGCTTGGAAATTGAAAGTTGCTTGTGAGAAGGTCACAAAAGGTGAGGATACTTCAACTCATAAATAAGAGTCAGTTCTCAATCGCCTGAATTTGATCATGTGACCCTGGGGATTCTGCAATGGTCCATTGTAACTCCAAATTGTCATTAAACAAACTGTTGTAAGTTGAGGACTTATCTGCATTGCTGAACTCTCCAAATATCACTGAAGCACAAATTCCAATATTTCCTACTTCTGGGCATGTTGACCGTGGCTGCTGGATGAACAGTAACATCTGGAAGGCTACCAGTTCCTTCACCTATTTGGTCAGCTGCATTCTTTGTCCTCAAGATGATTTTTTTAACCCGATACCCCGTGAGAAAGGTCTTAGCATTGGATATGTGGTTCCTTTGCAGTCTTGTTTCGTTGCTGGCCTACATTCAGATGACAGCACAGTGTTGCATCATACTGTATACTACTAACTTCAGTGGGTGTTCTGAATATGTGATATGTTTCTAGCATTCAAAATGCATTTAGGTCCATCTCTGCAGCAGAAATTGATTTTGGTAGCAAAATATTCTAAACAAGTCAGATATCCCAAATTATATATGATTAGGTGTCAGAAAAGGGCTGAATGGATAAAGTCAGCACACTGCTTTATGCTGATTTTCCAGAGTTATTAAGGATACAATTCTACTCTGCTCCGATAGAATTTTGCTCTATAAAACTTCAATTTTGGTAGTCAGGGCAAATCATATAGAATAGGTGTACGTGCATGAAGTTTCATACTTAAAATTCGTTGCTCAAATTATTTGAGTATTGCTAGATTTACTTCTGTGTGTGTGTGTGTGCGCGTGAGAGAGAGAGTGAGAGAAAGAGAGAGAGAGATGTAGTCAGAGAAAAAGTGTAACTATATGGGTGTGTGTTTGTAAACATTTGGAACAATAACTGCAGTAGTAATTCTTGGAGTATGTTAAGAGTTTATTTGCTGTGAACGTGGTCGATTTAGCAATTTTTAACTATTCAGCAGAAACATCTTTTGATTTTCAAGCTTTCCTTTGCAGCTATAATCTAGTAAAGGAAAACATAACGGGAACAACCACCATAATATTAGAAGATCATCATAATTCTGTATTTGTAGCCAAGTCATAGATGACAGCTTCCTATACCCCATAAGGATAATCCATATGGAGCGGACCATGAATTAAAATGGCATTTGTAAAACAAGTGAAAAATACAAGATAGGGCCAATTCCAATTAATTTGTATCCAATGGCACTCACTGTATAATTTTTGGGGAGAAGGGCTTTCTTCTTTAAATAAAAGAAATACCAATTTTAACTAAGAATTAGTGATCCCTATTGCCTAGTTTCACTCAAATGAAAAATATGTATGTCTTTGGTATTGACTTTTGACAATTTATCTGCAACAAAGAAGTAGAGTTATGCTATTCTATTGCACTCTATTCATGGGGCTCAGGTCCACTTGCAATCTGACACATTATCTTAGTAGGGAGACTGAAGTACATTAATTTCTCAGTATTTCACACAAAACTGACAAAGGTCATAAAGAGTCAGCCAAGGCCCTGTTATAGAATTTAAGAAAATTGGACCTTGGTCACAAGAGTTGTTATGTCTTGAAATATCTGATTATTTTACTTATTTAACCTTGCTGTTTAATAATGACTTGTTCTTTTATAAATTTCAGCTGTGTTGGTGTAGAGGAAGATGAGGCACCAGATATTGATATTTACCACTGTCCAAATTGTGAGAAAACCCATGGAAAATCTACTTGTAAGTATATTCCTTTGTCAGATCATTCTCTTGTTCGGAAAACTGACTTTATGGTATTTGCTATCCTGAATATATAAATTTTACTAGAATTTATGGTATTATTTACAAATATTAAAGAAAATGGAAGCTAATCAGGCATTTTAATATTTCGGTGCAAATGTGATATGAGTTGATTCATAGGGATTTGTGTGTATGTGTGCTTGTGGGTGTGTGGAAGAGAGGGAGGGAGGGAGGGGGAGAGAGAGAATCAACTTGAATAGAACTGAAAAAGCTTCTTGGATTAGAAGCCAAACATTTTCAAATAAAAAAGTAAGAAAGTCCAGTTGCCTTTTGGAAAAGAACCTTTGGGACACATGAATAATCTTATCTATCTGTTTGCCTTAACTGGGAACCACCACAATCAATGCAATATACTTCCAGATAAATATGAATAGGATTGGGCTGCTCATAAGAGTGACTCAATATGGTTAAGATTATATTAATAATAATTTTGTGTTTGACATAATGTAGCAAACTGTTTTAGGCAAGCAGTAAGAATATATTATAAAGTCTCAACATTTACATCTTCTTTAAAATAGGACTGAAATTGTAAATGCTCTTTCAGAGTGTGAACATCTAAAAGGATTCATGTCAAGGGAATAATTTTCAAATTGAATAAGTTATCTGGGAAAGAAGCATTGTGGCAGAAAATCTCCCTTGTCAATAATGACCTCCTTATAAGAGATAAAATGTTAATTTTCTTTTTTGGTTCCTTGGATGGTTTTCTTCCCTAATAACAGAGCAATACATGTGATTTTTAAAATTATGACTGAAAAATAAACTTCTGTTATTGAATGAATGAATGTGAATCAGCACTTGAGAGATAAGTATGCTAGCAAGAATGAAAAAACAGGTAGATACTATTAGATAAAATACTTTTCTTGGATGACTTATTGTACAATTTAAGATTACATCTGTGATAACCCTAGTGATACATTAAATAAAGAGGGAATAATATGTTAACATTTGGGTGCCCTTTTTTCTACTTTTCTTTGTCAAAATGGTATGTGTTTTACTGGTACAATTCTATTAGCTGTGTATCTCAAATATGTTTTACTGTTATCGATTGCAGCATATTTTCAGAAATAACAAATTCCACCTATCTTGTTACTTTTGAAAAACATCCTCTATACTTTTGATGTTCAAAATAAAAAGTCCTGAACTTTTTTGAAAAGATGACCAACTATACTATTTCACTGTTAATGACAAGCATAGTGGGAATTATTTTTATAACTGACTTTGCACCAGAGAGAAAGATGAGTGGCTCTTCCTGCAGTGTCACTCAAGGTCTCCTCCCTTGCCAGAGCTGCCTCGCAAACTGGTGCCACAATCAGGAAGGTTCAGAGCCATCAGGAATCAGACTGCCTGCACAAAGCACCAGCTCAAGTGGTACTTATCTGTCTACTTGTACAGAACATGCTTTCAAGCTATTAGAAGGACAGAAGCTGTGATGACTGACTGGTAGTGCTAGGGCTCAAACCACTAGAGCTGAGACCATCTCCAGTGTCATTCAGCCTCTGAGCCATCGTGTCTCCCAATATTGGGGATTGGAACAGTCTATAAACTTAATGCATACATACATACATAAGCTAGTGTTCCAGCATTTGAATGTATGACTCACAACAGATGGCTTCTTTTTGTAAACTGTTTTATACAAATACATTATATAGAAAATCTAAATATGATATATATAGTGGGGCAAAAAAGTATTGAGTCAGCCACCAATTGTGCAAGTTCTCCCACTTAAAAAGATGAGAGAGGCCTGTAATTGTCATCATAGGTAGACCTCAACTATGAGAGACAAAATGAGAAAACAAATCCAGACAATCACATTGTCTGATTTGAAAAGAATTTATTTGCAAATTATGGTGGAAAATAAGTATTTGGTCAATATCAAAAGTTCATCTCAATACTTTGTTATATATCCTTTGTTGACAATGAGAGAGGTCAAACGTTTTCTGTAAGTCTTCACAAGGTTGGCACACACAGTTGCTGGTATGTTGGCCCATTCCTCAATGCAGATCTCCATGCAGATCTCCTCTACAGCAGTGATGTTTTGGGGCTGTTGCTGGGCAACATGGACTTTCAACTCTCTCCAAAGGTTTTCTATGGGGTTGAGATCTGGAGACTGGCTAGGCCACTCCAGGACCTTGAAGTGCTTCTTACGAAGCCGCTCCTTCGTTGCCCAGGTGGTGTGTTTGGGATCATTGTCATGCTGAAAGACCCAGCCACATTTCATCTTCGATGCCCTTGCTGATGGAAGGTTTGCACTCAAAATCTCACAATACCTGGGCCCATTCATTTTTTCCTGCACACGGATCAGTCGTCCTGGTCCCTTTGCAGAGAAACAGCCCCAAAGCATGATGTTGCCACCCCCATGCTTCACAGTAAGTATGGTGTTCTTTGGATGCAACTCAGCATTTTCTCTCCTCCAAACACGACGAGTTGTGTTTCTACTTTGGTTTCATCTGACCATATGACATTCTCCCAATCCTCTTATGGATCATCCAAATGCTTTCTAGCAAACTTCAGATGGGCCTGGACATGTACTGGCTTAAGCAGGGGGACACGTCTGGCACTGCAGGATCTGAGTCCCTGGCGGCGTAGTGTGTTACTGATGGTAGCTTTTGTTACGTTGGTCCCAGCTCTCTGCAGGTCATTCACTAGGTCCCCCCGTGTGGTTCTGGGATTTTTGCTCACCGTTCTTGTGATCATTTTGACCCCACAGGATGAGATCTTGTGTGGAGCCCCAGATCGAGGGAGATTATCAGTGGTCTTGTATGTCTTCCATTTTCTAATTATTGCTCCCACAGTTGATTTCTTCACACCAAGCTGCTTGCCTATTGCAGATTCAGTCTTCCTAGCCTGGTGCAGGTCTACAATTTTGTTTCTGGTATCCTTTGACAGCTCTTTGGTCTTCATGATAGTGGAGTTTGGAGTGTGACTGTTTGAGGTTGTGGACAGGTGTCTTTTATACTGATAACAAGTTCAAACAGGTGCCATTATTACAGGTAATGAGTGGAGGACAGAGGAGCCTCTTAAAGGTGAAGTTACAGGTCTGTGAGAGCCAGAAATTGTGCTTGTTTGTAGGTGACCAAATACTTATTTTCCACAATAATTTGCAAATAAATTCTTTTCAAATCAGACAATGTGATTGTCTGGATTTGTTTTCTCATTTTGTCTCTCATAGTTGAGGTCTACCTATGATGACAATTACAGGCCTCTCTCAACTTTTTAAGTGGGAAAACTTGCACAATTGATGGCTGACTAAATACTTTTTTGCCCCACTGTATCTGTTTAAAACTATTTAACCATTAATTGTTTGGCACTTCAGAGGTTAATCATTGTGCACTAATGAGCACTATATTTTGAAATATGGCTAACATATAATTGATGATGATGCTATCCATACATCTTCAGTCTGACTCTTCACAATTCTATGGGCCAAGCCTCTCCACATCTTCCGATATTGCACTGCAAAAAAATTTAATTAGAACTGGGCAATAATTATAACTTTGTTATAACTTTGTCATAACTTCCTCATGGTTGCAAAGCAATTGAATCTCCATAAATTGAAGCCAAATATGCAGTTCAAGCACTAAACAACTCCTGGCTAGACACAGTTTGCTACAATCTTGGTACTTCCTGAATCGAGACATTTAGAATTATTTTGACTACTTTCAGGGAGACTGGAGGCCATTTGGTGTCATGATCTGAAAAATATAATAACTGAATTTGGCTATAACATTGCTTTGATGAGATTGAAAGAACATTGAACAACATGGCAGGTTTGCAAAAGCATCTCATGTCAGTAAAAATAAGCTTTCTAGGTTATAAATCAAAGCTGAAAGCAACGTTAACATGTTACCATTTTGTACAACCCTTTTATTTCCATTTTATTTGGCCAGGAAACATTTGAGATAAATTTTCATACTATAAAATACAACAACTTTAAATAATATGTCTAAGGATAGGGCTGTGATAGGGCTGTATTACTTTTATTTTTCTCTTTTTCCTAGTACCTTCTGCTATTGGTATCTTATGATTATATTACTTTATGGTTTTATGTACACTGAGAACGACTTATTCACTGGAGATAAATTCCTTGAGTGCCCAATCACACTTGGCCAATAAAGAATATTCTAGTCTAGTCTAATACTATAAAAGTCATATTGCTAAACCCAAACCTTAGTCTGAATTTGCTCTGAGAATCTACATAAGAAAAAATTCTCACATCTAACTTTGGCACAACAATGCTCTAGTCATTCTTTAAAAACATATCTACATGTCACAGCCTTCTTCTCATTCCCAATCCATAACTAGTTTAACCAAATATTTTTTTTCCTGATCCAATATGGAAGCAGTGTTTTCTGTCTAACAAAGCATGCTATATAAATGGTTGTGTCCCTGCAGCTGCAGTAATGACTTGCTCATTCTTTTCAGCTGCCAATCATGTCCCTTTCTGTGCAATGGTTGCCTTTCCTGGCATTTTGGTTAGTGCTTATGGATTTGGATAATGTTGGACGATCATCATCATAATCATCTCATCAGTCATTATTATTATCAATATTGCTACAAATACTAGGAGACCCCCACCTGTTTAAAGGGATTTACCTATCAGAGGGAACCTATTTTCTCTAGTGATCTTGTGCTACTTTGTCAATAGCTAATAGTTTTAGCCTCTCTGTTGACTATGATGCGCCAAGATCAATAGACAGTACTGTAAACCATGATTTCTCTAAAATGGCCAACCTGCCAGCCAAGACTTCTTCCTTTGTTTGACAGGCACTTTGCACTAAGATTCCTACAGAAGCACTTACGTTTTAAAAAAAGTTCTGACAAATGGCTACAACTCCTGTGTTGGCATATTTAAAATCAATTCACATTCTAAACTTAGCACTTTCAAGAGACACAGGATAAATAAGAGATGAGAATCCCTACCGTAGGAATCTTGAACATAAACTGAATTCTAAACAGGGAGGACAGTCTCGTCGCTTTGATTTCTGTAATTACATCTCAACCTAGCCTCTTTCATTAAATCCTGATAAAAGTAATTCTGAAAGATCTGACTTTTTATGGAGGTGGGCAGCCAAGAAGTTGATTCACATCTCAGCCATCTGGCGGAACTTTTGCCCTCCCCAGCCCAGAGGGGGAACAATTGGTGAATGTTTTTCCCCACAGCTAATGGCCCCTTTCTATGCCTTAAATGCCGCACAGAAAATTGTGAGGATAGCACTAATCTTCATCTTCATTTCAGTTCCAGTTAGAAAAGATACTGATACATTACTTTCGTGCTACCTCCCAGACTATAGAAAAGCATATTAAATTGATTGTCCTACTATGCTTATATATTGTGTACTTGATTGGCTTGAAGAAGGCTGTGAAGAGCTTCAAATGATGCTCCCTCTTTCATGACATTTTGGCTGGTGTATATAAAAGGATTTGCTTAACATTAAGCAAGAGCTGTGGTGGTGCAGTGGTTAGAATGCAGCATTGCAGGCTACTTCTGCTGACTGCCAGCTGCCTGCAATTTGTCAGTTCGAATCTCACCAGGCTCAAGGTTGATTCAGCCTTCCATCCTTCCGAGGCGGGTAAAATGAGGATCCAGATTGTTGAGGGCAATATGCTGACTCTGTAAACCACTTAGAGAGGGCTATAAAGCATTGTGAAGGGGTATATAAGTCCAAGTGCTATTGCTATTAGAATGTAGAGGGAAATTAATGTATTTTGGGGGCAAGTCAGAAAAATGTTCTGTCTTCTCATATCTGTCAGCTCACTGTTATTTATTGCAGAATTTTAGGTACAAAAGATAAGGGCTGATTGTTCTTATTATGCAACTTATAGGATTTTTTTAAAAAAAATATGATGCAAGAATGTCTGGCACACACTTTCAGTGATGGATGCCTTCCAAATGTCAATATAAAAATAATTTCTTGTGCTTTCTACTTTGCCACTGTAGCCTGCTGGCTTGCTACTTTAGAAAAATGTTTTCCTTATACAACATTAACAGTAATTTTGATTTAATGGTGTTTTGGAAGGCTACTAGTATGTAGAAGAAATATGCATTTGTTAAAAATGTACTTCTTGAATAACTTGGGGAAAACAAAATGCCCCAAGGAAGCCAGAATTGCATATGAATTTTATAATAGAAAACATGATCTAAATTTTCTCTTGAAAGAGGTCTTAATTCATGAGACTTCTGGCAAATATTTTGAGAGCTGGATTGTTAGTGGTTTAACTCTTGAACAAAATTATGGGACTGTTCGCACATTAGAAAGAGGGACTACAGCTACATGACAAGCATGTTAGGATAATACTCTACATCTTAGCAACCTTTGTTAGCAGCCATAGCAAGATGGTTATTACAAGTTTCCATTTTTTTATAGTGAGGACACTAGAGTAATAGTTAAGGCATTGTGTAGTTATCAGGAAGATCTAAGTAGCCATGGAAGCTCATAGGCTGATTTTGGGCTAGTCTCTCACTCCCAGAGTTATTATCAGAAAACTGAGTGCATGAAGTTCTACTTTGAGCTTCAGGAAGGAAAAGTGGGATTGAAATCTAATAAATAATCTGACAGATGTCATATTTCATGTTTTACTAGCTAATGTACTTCCACATTTCCTAAATATGTGTTCTTTTTTGTTTAAAAGTTTTCCTCTATTTTAATATTCATACATGTGCTAACGATGCGGAAAAACACTGTATCCCTCATGGCTCTTTCATTTGATTCTGTATGTTTCCTAGGCAGAGAATTGCTTTATGAAGGAAAAAAGCAAATTGGATTTAGTAAATATACAAGAGATAATTTCCCATATAGTAAATTATTTGACAAAACTGTTAGCAAATTATTATATCAAATGGTGATTTCAATGAAATTTCTTCACAAAAGTTGAGTATGTTTGTTTGTTTGTTTGTTTGTTTGTTTGTTTGTTTGTTTGTTTGTTTAAAAGATGTGTTTGTCCATCTTATTCATCATAACCTAGGATGGCTTCCAACAACATACAACCCCCACCCCCTCCTCCAAATCCAACACACACAAAACCATTTCACACAACCAAGGCATCATAACATTTGTATCCCAAATACACATATTCTGAGTTCATCCTATGCCAATGTCTGGGGAAAACACTAGTTCTTAAGAAGGCCAGGAGTGCAGAAGCTCTCTGGATCTTGGGAAAGGGGCTGTTTCATAGGGTAGGCACTGCTATAGAATTGTAGTTTGTTTATTTATTTAATTATATCAAGAAGAATGGTAAAAACAAAATGCAATATATGAAAGATGTATGGACAAGAGGTTGACAAGAATGATTTGGAAGTCTAGAAAGGTATAAATATGTTTAGGAAATGATATTAATGTAAATTATATTTAATTAGATTGTTTTTCTCTTATTTCCTGGCTTTCATTTCTTTTACTCAGTACTTTATTCTTTGCTTTGTATAATGGTCATTTTCTCAAAAGGAAATGGCTTGACAAATAGGCACATATGTAGACACAGATAAAGATACAGAGAAAATCAATGTGCAAAGTGGTTAAAGCATAGTGTCAGAGAGTCCCACACTCTGCTACAAAGAAAACTTGTGACTTTAGGCCACTCATTACCCTTCAGCGAAACTTTCCTCACCGTTTTTGTAAAGTTAAAATCTTTACAATTAGTTCCCATTTTAGTTCTAGTTAAATGGAACACACGAGCCATTGCATCAGAGTTTATCTTGAAGGAAATGTGTACATTTAATGAGTTGATAAGATACTGGACTTTGGGAACTGCACTACTAAAGGAATCTCTTAAATATTCTCTATATAGAAAATTAGGGATGCTTTCCTCTTCCTTTAAAACTTCTGTATCAGTGGTGGGTTGCTCCTGGTTCAGTCCGGTTCTATAGAACCGGTAGTAAAACTGACGAGAGGCTCCATCCACCCGCCACGACATCATCATGGGTGATCTGTGCATGTGCAGAAGAGCGCGCGCTCCCACTGCGAACTGGTAGTAAAGGTAAGTGGAACCCACCCCTGTTCTGTATGTTCTATTAGATAGCTCATTTTTTCCTGACCTGAAGCAGAGAAGTTTGGGATTTACCTTAGGAAAGTTAGATAAAATGAGAATCAGAATCCACTGAGGATGAGAAGATACCTCAACAGGAATTATATATAAATGCTGTATATAAACCCTGATAGGGACTGTCAGACCTTATCCAGTTCACATGCTAGAACCATTATATCTAAATTGTAATTTTTCATAGGCCATGAATGTTGATATAATTAAACTTGCATTACCATCTAAGCATCATAATCATGAATAATAAATGACTGAAGGGGTTGCATCAGGAGGGCTTATAAATGTAGAGTTCAGTTTTCATGTCTTCACTTAATCTGATCCGACACATCCTTTGTTTCTTATTGAATAACAGCTAAACAGTGAGCCTTCACTCTGGCAATAGGATTTAATTCATCAATTTTTCAATTGCACATTTTAATCAATAAAATAAACATTATGAAAAGAGACAGATTATGCCTTTGTTATCTGCCTGGGCTGACTTTCTTCCTTCATACATGATTCAAAGCCTAGGTAAATAATACATTGTACCATGATTTAATTTTATCTTGCATCAGCCCTTGACATGTATGATATGTTTCTACATTGCAATTTGAAGTGCTGCTCTTAACAGTGGAGATTAAAAGTGTAGCTTAGTAAACCTGAACTCTATCCAGGATTTACATTTCGCTTTATAAAAACTGTATAGCTCACTACTTAATTATATGGCTGGCTTGTTCTCAGGGTTACTAAATTATCGCAGTTCAGCGTACTTCATATAGGTCATAGTATTAACATTTATAAACAGATGGAAAAAATGTCAAATGTCTCTTCAGAACAAAAATTAACTTTATACTATTTTGTTAGAGGTAGCATTATTATCATTATGTCACCCAAGAGGTCCTGTCAGCCTTAATAGGCAAACCAAAATGACAATTTTCTTCATTGTCATCCTCCCACACCCATTATATCTAATCCCCTTAAATTTGTTCTCTTTCAGTAAAAAAGAAAAGAAATTGGCACAAACATGACACTGGTCAAGCAACAGAAGTAAAGCCTGTCCAGAATGGTAGTCAAGTGTTTATCAAAGAACTTCGAAGTCGTACATTCCCCAGGTAAGTTGCTAACCCTATTCCTGTATCATTGATATTAGAAGGAAGATTTGGGGGCAGGTAGGTTTTCCTTGGTAAAGTATATGTAGCCAATAGCTATGTAGCTCATAAGCTTACAGATCTTGGCCTCATAGCTTTCCGCATAATTTCCTGATGCAAACAAACAAATTCCCTCGCTCTGCTTATTGACAAACACTAGGCCGTATTTGATCCTTAGAAAGCCTGGAACAGCTCCACAATGGTGGGTGGAAACAGCATATGGTATACAGTACAACTAAAAGAAATAAGTGGCGTAAGTAGTTTTCACAACTTATTGGGACATTTAGCACTCCTGAGGCATTGCTTCTCCATAGTTAGTAAGAAACAAAATTAACGTGGTGATTATGTCATTTTATTAAGGTATCTAAAATTCTTATGTTCTTCAAAGAGATTTCATTTTATGTAATTATGTAACAGTGGCTTATCAATTGGCAAGTTTCTTTTATGATTAATGAAATATAATAATGTTGCAATATTAAATATATATGGCCAAGATCTTTCTATAGTATTTACTTGCAAAAATATTGTTCAATAAAATCTCTTGCATCTTTAATTAGATTATTTTGAATCTTGTGTTCATATGAAGCATCCTAACGGTAAACAAACTACTATAGTTCAATTCCATAATATTAAAAAAAAAGGGTGGGGAGGGGAAATAGAACTGCAATTAATTCCTCACCATGTAGTGAACAAAAACTAAAGGTTATTCATGAAATTCTTCATTACAAATGTTGAGCTGAACAAGAGGCAATTAAAGGCCAAAGGTCAAAGTCTTCATTGGACAGACTGCAATGGTATGAAACAGTGACCCCCAACCTTTCCGGTTTTGGGGACCAGTGTGTATGTGGGGGAAAGGGAGAGGGAATGGTTATGTGCGAACAGTGGGAAAGCATACTGTGTTTCCCTGAAAATAAGACCCTGTTTTATATTTTTTTAACCCCAAAATAAGCGCTTGGCCTTATTTTCGGGGAGGTCTTATTATTTTGGGGCGTGAGGAACAAGGTGGGGCTCTTCTTGCCATCTTACCTGATTTCCAGGTCTGCATTTAAATATTTTGGGGAGGGCTTATTGGGGGGGGTTATTTTAGCGCATGCGCTCAAAAGCCCGATTGGGCTTATTATCAGGGGATGTCTTATTTTCGGGGAAACAGGGTATTTGCCCATTCCTCAGGCAAGTGGAGCTGCACATGTGCTCTCTCACTGCTTCCACCGCCTGGTTTTGAATGGACTGTAGCCCAGTAGTGAGCTGCAGCCTGGGGGTTGGGGACTGCAAATTCAGGCTGCAACTCCAGGCTAAGTGTTTGATAGAAGTATCACTGGCTGTAAAAGTTTTGATCTCTTTGTTTTTACAGTTTTGACCTGGAATTAAAATCAGAAGTATGCATAACAGTATGGCATTTCTGTAAATTGAACTGTGGAGTTTGAGTGCATTGGCAGGCATAACAAAACAGTCAGCATTTTTTTTTAAAAAAAAACCCTGCTTCCTTCAACAGCAGTCCAGACTTATCTGTCTTTATAGACTCGGGTCGTTAATGTTCAACTGCTACTTGCATTATACAGCAAAGAAGACCCTTCTATTGTGACGGTTTATTCTTAAATTAAGGAAAAGGCTATAAGCTGATGTACCTTTGTTAGTGAATGGAGGAAAAGAGAGATAGGAGAATGTATTTTTTTCTTCAAACTACCATATTTTTTGGAGTATAAGACACACCTTTTTCCCCACTAAAAGTGGACACAACCTTGTAGATGACCCTCACTCTGTCAAGGACCTTGGAGTACTCATATCTAATGATCTAAGTGCCAAAGCCCACTGTAACATCATCGCCAAAAAGGCGTTAAGAGTTGTAAACCTAAACTTGCGTAGCTTCTTCTCTGGTAATATTACACTACTAACCAGAACATACAAAACATTTGCTAGACCAATTCTTGAAAACAGCTTATCTGTCTGGAACCTGCACTGATTATCGGACATTAGTACAATTGACTGTGTCCAGAAATATTTCACAAGAAGAGTCCTCCACTCCTCTGCTCACAACAAAATACCTTATGCCACCAGACTTGAAATTCTGGGCTTAGCAAACTTAGAACTATGCTGCCTTCGGGATGACCTAAGCGTAGCTCATAAAATTATCTGCTACAATGTCCTACCTGTCAGTGACTACTTCAGCTTCAACCACAACAATACATGAGCACACAGTAGATACAAACTTAAAAGTGAGCCACTCCAAACTCGATTGCAGAAAATATGGCTTCAGCAACAGAGTGGTCAATGCCTGGAATGCACTACCTGACTCTGTGATTTCATCCCAAAATCCCCCAAATGTTAACCTTAAACTGTCTACTGTTGACCTCACCCCATTCCTAAGAGGTCTGTAAGGGGTGTGCCTACCGTTCCTGTCCTAAGGTTCCCTTTATCTGTATTCATTTTATGTATTCAATTCATACATACACCTTCATTGGCTATCCCCCTTGAAAGCCACTTGTGTGCTTAGAATAAGAGGTGTAGTTTCAAAGAGGCACAGAAGAGGGCGCTCATGCCTTACCCTAAAAAGATTTTGGTACTTTATGGATGCATGTTTTTATCCCAATGAAATCCTGTGCTTTAGGTGTAAGTACAAAAAGTAACTTAATAAAGTTGGCTAAAGTAACATGCCTGCTTAGAAGAAGCTTTGACCACAATATTCAGATATTTTTGAGTAGCCTTGGATGATGAGATGCTGTTGACAAAACTGACTATTCTGATACTATATGACTATTAAGCGTGTTTTGCATCACTTCACAAACTGGTAGCTGATTAGACTATTACACCTAACCTTTCTCTAAACATCCAAACAGAATTTAAGTTAGCATTTGTCAAACTAAGATGGTAGTTTGTATTTGGTTATAAATTTGGTGGACAAAAACACATCATCAATCATTGGGTAAACGGTTTCACTGAAGGATTTAACAGCCAAAATGTAATGAGTCTTGATCATGCTAACTTATACACTTCTTTATATAAAGTCTGATGTGCTGTGTAGATGAATATTTTCATAACATTGTTATTTAAAATGTATAATTCTAGTATGTGAAGTCTGAACATTTTTAAGAACACAATTGCAGTGTTTGGGGATCATTTGAGTCAAATATTAACAGCAGAGTCAGGACAAAAAAGTTGTTTTCTTGAAAGTCATAGACTGCATGTTGTCATTTGCTAGAAATATGGTCTTCATCTACAGCAGAGTTATCATTCATCAGACAAAGGAGGAAGTATTCACTTCAGAGACTGAAAGGACTATTTACAAATAAGAGTGATTAATAGTCTGCGTCATCTCATTCGTTTTTGGATGGATTTTGAGATCCTGTGTGGTAGAAAAGATAGGAAAAGAGTCGAGTATATAATAGCTGATGCTGTAGTCAGACTCTGTGTAATGACTCTTTCTCTTGCAAGGATCATCTCAAAACATTTTTTCAAACCACATCTTCATTTCCATTGTCCTTGTTTCTTCTTCAATTTATCTTAGATAAATTAGTTAGCTCAACTACCTGCCTATCCTTCTATTTCCCCTCTCTCTCATTTTCTCCTTCTGTGGTCTTCATTTTGTTTTTAAAGATAATAATTTGATTTTTAAAAAAGATTTTCTTTTTTAAACACATTGGTTTGATTGTTCATTTTTAGTTGAATTAAGCCAGAGGTCTTCAAACTTGGCAGCTTTAAGACTTGTGGACTTCAACTCCCAGGCTGGAGAATTCTGGGAGTTGAAGTCCACAAGTCTTAAAGACCTGCCAAGTTTGAAGACCTCTGAATTAAGGCTTCCTCTTCATTCAGGGATGCATTAAAATATTATATTCATTTCTGATTTTTTGATTCCATAAACAATTTTATAGAATATTAATATGTACATGTTTGCCTTCTTTGCTTGTCTTTATCAGTAGTGTCTCCCATATTGATCCCATTAATAGGTTTCTACTTTTGTGTATTTGACTCTCTTCATTTGTTTTATATCTTGCATCTGTTACTCACATGGGTATCTTTAAGGGTGATTAGGCAGAGGTAGCGGAAGAGTGATGTCTGACTTTTCTCATGAGGAAGTGTCATGTCCCCTCTCCCTAAAAAATTAATGGCCAGTATTTGGCTCAATTATTGTTCACTTTTAATACAGAAGATTGCACTATTCTGGAAATGTAGAAGAGAAAGAAGAATTTGTAAGAGCATGACTAGGAGAGTCACCATCATCCTGGAATAGTTCCAGAAGAATGCCAAGAAAATATATTGGTTTTTTAAATCCATGGCACTAGAAGAGGACAGGGCGATTAAGGAAAATGGTGATGATATTTTTGCTGAAGAAGAGGATGCAGCAAAGTGACCCAATGCTCTGACATAATTCCTAATAACTTTAATGTCAAGCTTCATAATTCTAGCAGTAGACAGTATTCCTGTAAAGAGATTTGGGATGGTTTTGATGAGCCGTGGTGGCACAGTGGTTAGAGTGCAGTACTGCAGGCTACTTCTGCTGACTGCCAGCTGCCTGTAATTTGGCAGTTCAAATCTCACCAGGCTGAAGGTTGACTCAGCCTTCCGTCCTTCTGAGGTGGGTAAAATGAGGACCCATTTGTTGGGGGCAATATGCTGACTCTGTAAACCACTTAGAGAGGCCTGTAAAGCACTGTGAAGCGGTATATAAGTCTAAGTGCTATTGCTATTGCTATTTTGAACCATTTGGAAATCTTAGCTCTAAGAAGAATATGAGCCAAGGGAAGTAGCTATGATAATAGTGTATTATAGTTTGCTTTTCTATCTAAAGAAATGTCATCAGGCTAAATCAACACATTGCCATATATAAATATGAATGGGGCAAATATGGATGTACCTGATGGTGATTTTCAATAGCGGCCTCCTTGAACATCTCATTGTTAGGTGGAAAATTACGAACATGGAATAACAATAACACTTGAGCTAAACCCTCCAAGGAAGATGTATAGGCACTTGAAGGAATGATACTATAGATTCCTGAGAATCACAGCAGGTTGTAATCCTGTGATGAATGAATCTTCAGAATTTGCCTTTCCATCATTATCTAGGGCAGTTTACCATACCACTATGGGAAGGTCCCTTGGGGAGGTGCACACAGAGCCCAGGGCTTTGAAGAACATTTCAGTTGTACATTGTTACAATAAATCCATCTTTCCCAAAGTTTCATTGTATTATTTTCATTGTTCACTTGTGTTCATTTTATTTATTTATTTATTTATTTTATTCGTCTTATATGCCGCCCTATCTCACAATGGACTCAGGGCGGCTCACAACAATAAAACACAAGCCACAATAAAAATAAAGACTAAAATCTAAAAAATTTAAAATTAACCCATTAAAACCCTTAAAACCCCATCATCAGACCAGGTCAAGGGATTTGAAAAGCCAAGTTTTTAATTCCCGGCGGAAGGTGTGAAGGTCGGACGCTAGTCGGAGCTCCAAGGGGAGTTGATTCCAGAGGGTGGGCGCCCCAACCGAGAAGGCTCTACTCCTGGGGGCCACCGGCCGCCACTGTCTAGCCGACGGCACCCTGAGTAAGCCCTCTCTATGGGCGCGAACCGGGCGATTTTGGTGTTTGGATTACGATAAGTTTACACTAAAGGAAGGTGCGATGGCAAAAAGTTGAGGGATCTCTGAGCTAAGGGCTTCTGGATTGACCACAGCAGAATGACTGCAGAGATTAAAAATCATAAGTGTAGAAATGGGTCTCTCTCAAACTGTGCTATAGAAGTGGTCTGAGGAAGTGGTTTTAATGATCAAGAGATTGTGCCCCTAAATGTTCAAGATCCCTATGGATCAGGAATAAAAAATGTGATTCAATTTGAAAAATGTTGTATGTCAAGAAATGCAGTCAGAAAACTGGGCTTTGGGAAAAGTATATTACCATCCCTCCTTTCTTTGGCAAATGATCAGCCTGTTCTTTTTCTTTCTAAGAAACTTGCTGCTTGTATGATCTCATGGTGGAATCTGAATATAATACTTCAGTTTCTTCCTCTGGAGATGTTCTTGAGGATTGCCATGGGTGCCCAAGAAAGAGGGAATAAAAAGGAAGACAATGTTTAGCTCTCAATATTTTTTTTGTCAGTCAGAGAAAATAGGAAAGGAAGAAAAAATTGCATAGGAGGGATATTCAGCAATGGATGAAAACTAATCAAGAGAAAAGTAACCTAGAACTAAGAAGAACTTTCCTGACAGATAGAACAATTAATTAGTAGAACAACTTGCCTCCAGAAGTTATGAATGCACCAACATTGGATGTTTTTAAGAAGATATTGAAGAACTATTTGTCTGAAATGGTATAGGATTTCCTTCCTAAGCAGGAAGTTGGACTGGAAAATCTCCAAGGTCTCTTCCAACTCTATTATTCTATTCTATTTAAAAATAAATATTAAAGTTAAAGGCTTCAAATAATAGGCCAGCTCTATACTGGGTTGGTTGGGCACAGGGCTACCCTCTGTTAATTGGTTTTCCTAGTGCAGTGATACAAGCCTAATGAACTTTGGCCATAACAAAAATTATGGATATGGAATTTACTGATGAATTTATTTTACTGTATTTTGAATAAAATATTGTAGAACTGATAAGACTTATCCAGATATTAATATTGTATTCCATTGTATGTAGCACAATTCATTTTACAAACTGCTTGCCAAGCTCTAATCTAGAGAAAGTAAGTTTGTGCTTCATTGATATTAACAGATTTAAGTTAGTTCAAAAGTTCTAAATCTGAATATAGGATCAAATTATATATGAATAAGCCATCTGGCGTATCTATGACCACTAATATTTTCCTAGACTTAACTTCTTTAAACTTTTGTTTAAATGCTTTTTAGATTTTGACTCTATAGCCCTGGGAATTCCTGGTTGTTCCTCCACGCACTAAGCAGATGTACCTTTATTTAGCTTTTTGAAGATCAACCAAGATTGAATGTTACATGACATTACAACTAAACTAAGATTTCAACTGACCAGCACAATTTTTAAAAGAAAACAACTAATTTTCTATGAAAATTTAAAAGTATGCTTTTCCTTTGTCTTTATGGTGATATTTTGGATGAAATTTTGGATGTTGTGTCCTTAAATAATAAGTTATTGTGAGCATAATGGGGCCATGAGGACATCCTGAATTTAAGGATTCCTAGAACATGTAATTTCAGGGCAGTTAACATTTTGGAAAACTATATGTCCCAAAGTTCTGTTAATTTGCATTTGCTCATAAGTTCCATTAACAATCCCGAACCAGAAAACAATTTCTCAGAAAATTATGAATTATTTAAAATACAATCAAACCTTATGACCTGGAACAGCCTGCATTTCAAACTAGGAAGCAATAAATTCAGGGATTAGCTTGCATATAACACAAAGGAAAGATACTATTTTGAGGTTCTTCACAACTATGTAGCTGTCTGATTAAATAAAGCCAGTGGGTCAATACAGAAAGCAGGAGTTTCACAGTCTTAAAAGAAAATACTGACTTTGATGTGAGTTTATTGTATAATTGGACAAAACAAATTTGTTTTGTTTTGAATTTTTAGTGCTGAAGATGTGGTAATAAAAGTGACTGGAAGCCAACTAACAGTTGAATATTTGGAAGAAAACGGATTCACAGAGCCTATTCTCATTCCGAAGAAGGATGGCTTGGGCTTATCAGTACCTGCACCAACGTTTTATGTTAGTGATGTTGAAAACTATGTTGGTATGTATTGTTGTTGGTGTTTTACTGTAAATATGAATAATCCCTGGAGCTTTCAACTTGAATAATTTCCTATCAAATGGTTAGTAAACGATGCTGTTCACAGTGTTCATAGGATCTGTAGTCTGAAAGTTATCGGATTGGGAGGTTTACATTTTTACATTGTTTCTAATTTCCAATTAAAAATGTATCTTCATGTTTCCCAAGCCATGTGGTCATATCAGGCCCTACTGCAAGAATTGTACATTGCAGCCTGGATTTCCTTTTGACCAGCAGTCCTCTCTTTCAGACTTAATTTATGACTCAAAAAGGCAGTCCTGATTTAATGAATCTGAAACTACACAGCTTTAAATAAAGATATTTTTCTGACTATATTTCTGACTTGTTGATAAAAGGGATATAGGTAGTACCTATTCATTTTTTGGCTGTCTGAAGTTATACAATGCTGAAAAAAGTGACTTACGACCAGTTCTTCCATTTATGACTGTCACAGCGTCTCCCTAAAGTCATGTGATTGCAACTTGGATTCTTAGCATTTATGACGGTCACAATTTCCCATGGTCATGTGATCATCATTTGCATCCTTCCTAGTCACTTCTGGCATGTACAATCAATGGGGAAGCTGGCAGGAAGTCGCGTTTCATGGTCACAGGATGTCTTGATTAATGGCTGTGGATGATTCACTTAAGAACTGCAATTGAGATTGCTGGAATTTGCCATTACTAATTAGGGTGTTCATGTGATGTTTCGCTTAACAAAAGCTTTGTTTAATGATGGACTTGCTGGTTCCAAGGAAGCAATATCTATATGCAAAGGTAGTACACTTTTTCATTCCACTTACTCTGTTTCCCTGAAAATAAGACATCCCCTGATAATAAGCCCAATTGGCAAGAGAAGCCCCATCTTGCTCTACCCGCCCCAAAATAATAAGATCTCCCCAAAAATAAGGCCAAGCGCTTATTTCGGGGTTCAAAAAAATATAAGATAGGATCTTATTTTTGGGAAAACACGGTATATAGCTACTATCTTATTGTTATTTTGTCATGCAATATACAGTACGACACCTTTAAGCTCTGAAGTTAAATTAAAATTAAATAAAATGTTAATACCATTAAAGTGGATTGAGTCTTGTGAGCTGACCAAATTTGGAATATTTTAGTATTTGTTTTATGCCAGTTTCTAGAGATGCAGTTGATTGAATCTTAAAAGACTATTGGCACTGTTGACAATGTGATGATTTCTTTTCCTATATTAATCCAAAATGTTACTTGCAAGAATCATTCACATCTTTTTGTATAGTTTGGACTAATTAGTGATTTGAAATCAGCACTTCATACTTAATTATGTTTGTATATAATCTGTGTAATATTCTGTTACTATTTACCCTTTGATTTCCATTATTGTCTTTAGGATTCCTAGGTCAACCAATGACAATACCTTGTTTTTCCTATGCTACAAACATCAAACATTTAGATCCCCCCCCCAAATTGTAATGTTGTAGTATATGTGGCATTTAACTAACAACCCATGCATTTTATTAGTTTTATCATGTATTATTATTTCATGAACATACAATAATGTAAAGCAAATATGATATTTACATTGCTCCTTTGTAAAGTTGTTATGCTGGTGTATGCATAAAACTTTCAACTATAATTTTATAGCAGGTCCCATCCAATTTGTACCTGGTGGGAATATCATGTTTGCTGATCCATCTCCTGTCCTTGGCAGATTTTGCTGCATTACTTGGACGCTTTTAATCTCTACTGTCTGCTTCTTTTTTAAAATATATATATATATATTATTTTATTGTTTTATCATAAAAAGTAAAATAGAAAACAGAAGAAAAAAAACAAAATTAAATAAAAGAAAAGCATACATTCAACACTAGCAACAACAAAGAAAAAAAACAGTGTACAAAAAAGAGAAGAAAATCTGATAAAATAAATTTAACACTCAATATGTAGGATCCGCTTCTCTGTCTATCGACTGAAGTAACCCTGTTATGAAGAAGAGGGTCATCATAAACAAGAGAACAAAGCAAAGAGTTTAGCCTATGGATCTGTCATTGAGGGGTCTTTGTGCTTTCTGAGCCTAGTTGCTCTTGCAGATGTTTCATTATCTAAGCGAGGCAACTTCATCATTACTAACACTGATGAGAGGCTGATTAAACATTCTAGATTTAGAAACTTTTTCTCACTGCACCTCCATTTAGTGTAATCTTAATGTATACACCTTCCTTAAAAAATCAAGCACCAAAATGAACACAAAGGAACAATGGAAACAGTGCAGTGAAACTTTGGTGGGTTTATTTTAACAATGTGACTAAAAGGTTCTTGGACTGTATCTGGACTTCCCCAAGGGAGGTTGACCAGAGAGTTTGGGAAATGTTGATTTAGATACACAGGCAAATGAATTTTACAATCAACATATGTTTTTACAACATTGATTGAAAAGATGGGAGGGATGCAGATGCCACCAATACGTTACTTGAAAAGTCATGTGCCTTTCACTTTTAAATGACCTTTGCACATCAACTTAGAAAAATGAATAAAAAATAAATTGTCCTGAAAATAATTATTAATTAGGAAAATATTTCTGAACCAGCATAATAGAATATTATTCTATTTCATTTTCCCAGGATTCCTTAGCTGCTCTTTGCAGCTCTCATACAATCCTAGGAACTGACAGTTGACTTAAGGAGTGGTGCATATTTGTGCTCCCAGTCCCTTCAAACTCTTTTGGGGTCTTCAAATTGAAAGTGTCAGACAGAGCAACCATAAACATAACCATAGGCTTGGGTTGCCAGGTGAACTATCTCACTTTCTCAATTTTCAAAATCGGCTTCCTATTTCTTAATATCCTTTTGCAAGTCCAGTTCTTTTTGTGCCAAAGAGCAAACTTTTTGCATGGGTACATTTTCATGGTTGCATGGAATGAACTTCTGTGTATTATACTTTGCCTTATAACTTGCACTGTATCCATGTTTACATTCCTATTTTCTTGGCTTGGTTGTTTTTCTTTAGGACCAGAAAGGAGTGTGGATGTTACAGATGTCACTAAACAGAAGGACTGCAAAATGAAACTAAAAGAATTCGTTGATTATTATTATAGCACAAATCGAAAAAGAGTTCTGAATGTAATTAACTTGGAGTTTTCAGATACAAGGTGAGTGTCAGGTTTTCAGGCCGTCTTCAAATAAATTGCTGACAGTGAGATAGTACGTGAAGCCACAGATTATAAAGGTCTTCTTTTTTCCAATCATATTTAGAATATTTTTAAGAAGAGTAACATATGTAGCCTGTGGAATGATGGATCCAGAATTTGACTTTATTCTATAGATTAGAATACACTTTCCAGAGAAATCATTCAAATTTGCATCTCCACCTGCTTAAATTTTGTATTCACAAATTAGCAAACTATATGATTTAATTTTTATGTGGAGTAGTTGTTCAGAAAATCAAACAAGTGAACAAAAAGATTGCTAGGGAAATAATTCCATTTTATTTGTCAAGAGACTGCAGTGATAATTAATGTAGATTACAGAAAGGCTGAAGGTTGATGGCAAAATTTATTTTGTAAAGTCCACATCTTTCTATTATTTATTGTTTTAATAATATAATCCCCTTTCCTGCACAGATAAAATATTTTTTTTCTAAGCAGCATGATTACAGTTTAGGTGTTTAATTTTTTTCCAGCCTTCAGAAACTATTGTAAAGAAAGGCATTATTTTATTGCAGAGAAGTGCGCATATTACAGTATCCTCATATACTACTGATTTAATAACTGGTTAGCAAATATGTTCTTCAGCAAAGAGTATAGCATTTTAATAAGCTTTCAAGGTCTGCCTTGACATAGAGGATAACAAAAAAATAGGTTTTCAATGAGAGTATTTTATACTTAATACCTCACACAAAGAGGCATTTCAAAAATAAATTCACATCTCCATCTCAGTTTAATTAAGTTGTTTTCTATCCATTTTGAATAAATAAGCATTCAGAAAGTGCTATTTGCTTGCTCTTTCAATTATGTATGCATCTGGAATAATAAATCCTTTGCTAAAACAGTCTTCATTTAATTTCTGCTCCAATTTATTTAGAAAAGATTGTTGTATTAAACTAAGTGTCAGATTTATTTATTTATATTTAATGCATTTGTGCACCACCTTCCATTATTGGAAGGTGGTTTACAGAGCACAAAAATGCAAAATGCAAACAAATTAAAAAGTATAAAAGACCATGAAACTGTATATTTAATTGCTGCCTAATATAATATTTATCTACAGTTTTTATCCTTTTATGTTTTGTTGTACACCATCCAGAGTTGCTCTGATAGTGACATGGGCAGTTTATGAATGTGATATGTAAATAATTAAAGTAAAATAATTTAAGTAGAAGAAACATGAGACCAGTAAGGAAAAGTTCCACTGTAGAATGCTCTTTTTAGGATGTATCACCATTCGTTACATTTCCCTGTACCCCTATATTTCTAATAGCTAATAGCTCATAAGTATGCCTGTGAAACTGAGGTATGCTCCCATTCTAAACTTTTTTCCTCAAAAATAAATAAATAAATTCTACACTTCTACGACTTCGTGAATTTCTCAAGCTTACCAATTAGCTCTTTCTTTTATACAAGTGATATTAGTTTGTTTACACGATAACTACATTTGTAGAATTTAGATTCCTATAGGTATGTAGAAATAAATAAGATTCTATCCACCCCATTTCATTTATCCCACTTTCCTGAATTTCCCTTTGTGTTTCAGAAAATAGAATGTATTTCTGGGTTGTCCCTCCCTCTCGCATCTTCCCATTCTACCTCCTCAAATAGACCTGTTTGTATGTCAATGGCCCTAGTTTGAACACTTAATCAACAGCACTTATAACTGGATTATTGTAAACCATGAGATCCAATATAAACTCTTTGAAGAGTTATGGTACCCCATTTGAACTCAATGGATTTCTTGCTTGCTTTTCACCTCAAGATGCCTAAATGTAATTCAAATGCCAAATGCACAGTGTTTTTGAATCTCATAAATGTTAAAGTTAAAATTACCATATTTTTTGCTCTATAAGATGCTCCAGAACTTAAGATGCACCTAGCTTTTGGGAAGGAAAACAAGAAAAATAAATCTGACTCTGCCTCCCAGCATCCATCTGGTATTCATCTGGCTAGCGTTCTTGCAGCAAACAGCCTGGTCAGCTTCAGCATGTTATTGCAGTCTGGCACGTGGCTTGTCAGGGCTCCGCTCCATTGCACCCACCACTGGTCAGCTGGGCTGAGCTGCTGCCGCCACTGGGGAATGCTGGAGCCTTTGCTGCTGAGCAGCTGATTGGCGGTTGGATCGGCCTCCCGGAATACCACCAATCAGCTGTTCTAGACAGCAGGGTAGCCTCCGTTCGCCACTGCCATTCACCACTGCTGAATGGCAGTGATTGTTGGCGGCGGCAAACAGCAGCAATAGGTGGCAGCGGTGATCCCCGTCACCTAGAATATCAGCAGTATTTCGGGAAGCCGATTTAACAGCCAATCAGCTGCTTGGCAGTGAAGGCTTCAGCATTCCCTGGCGGCGGCCCTCCCTCCCTGTCTCAGCATTCACTCCATAAGACGCACAGACATTTCCACCCACTTTTTTGGGGGGGAGGGGGAAGTGTGTCTTATAGTTCAAAAAATATAGTAATAAACAGTTAAATGCCTGGTAGAAGAGATGTATCTTAAAAGCAATAACAAATACAATTCCATGGGGAATGCATTCCTGGCAGGGATGCCTCTTCCTGATCTTGCCATTTTCTCAGAAACAGGAGTGTGAATCAAGAAAACTCTTTCAATGTCCTTTAATTGAGTTCAGATGCTTTAATTTTTCTTTCCTGTTTTAAAACAGAATGTCCAGTTTTGTAGAGTCTCCTGAAATAGTGAAAAAGCTCTCATGGGTGGAAAATTATTGGCCTGATGATGCTCTGCTGGCAAAACCAAAAGTGACCAAATACTGTCTGATTTGTGTGAAGGACAGCTACACAGATTTCCATATTGACTCTGGTGGAGCCTCTGCCTGGTACCACATCTTAAAAGTAAGATGCTTTATTCTAGTTAATCATGAGCAATGAATAGTGTAACAAATTCACACTAAACTTTGGAGTTTGCAGTTCTTGAAGGTAGAAATAAGAAAAATTAAGACTCAGCATATGTTGACATGCAGTGCTGGCAGTAATCTTGCTGATAGGATCATCAAAAAATTTATTCAATATAAGGAGGGGGAAGCATGGAGAAATAACTTACATTGTTTAAATATCTAAAATGTGGCTAATTCTAATGTGCAGGTATACATGTTTAATGATGGATCAAAAATACATTTGAATAAAATAGCAATAGCACTTAGATTTACATACTGCTCCATAGTGCTCTCTGTGTGGTTTACAGATGTCAGCGTATTGGCCCCAACAATATGGGTCGTCATTTTACTGACATTGAAAGGATGGAAGGCTGAGTCAATCTCGATCATGTCAGGATCGAATTCCAGACTGTGGGCAGAGGGGTTGAATAATAAAAAAACAGACTACTTTTTTGGAATTTAAACTTACTATTCCTTAATCTGTTTTCTGGAAAAATTCTGAAAATTCTGTCCCGTTTTCTCTATAATAACCCTTCAAATACTTGAAGACTGCTATCATGTCTCTATATATTTTCTGTCTCCAGGATAAACTTATAGTCAATGCCCTAGCTACTTCTCCTAAATTTTTCCTTCCAACCCCTTAGTTGCTTTCTTCTGGACATACTGTCGTTTATCAGTGTCCATCTTAAAATAGGAACCTAGAACTGAATGTAATATTCTAGTTGTATATATATATCTGAAATAGATAGCTGCTTTATGCTGGGTAAAAACCATAGTCATAGAAGAAGCTTAAGCTATTGTTTATCATTCATAAAACTATTATATATATAGAATATATATAGAATATATACAGAATAGAATAGAATTCTTTATTGGCCAAGTGTAATTGAACACACAAGGAATTTTTCTTGGTGCATATGCTCTCGGAGTACATAAAAGAAAAGATACACTCGTCAAGAAACATAAGGTACAACACTTAATGATAGTCATAGGGAAACAGTCAATATAAATCTTAAGGATACTAGCAACAAGGTTACAATCATAAGTGGGAGGAGATGGGTGATAGGAACAATGAGAAGATTAATAGTAATGCAGACTTAATAACTAGTTTGACAGTGTTGACGGAATTATTTGTTTAGCAGAGTGATGGCGTTCGGGAAAAAACTGTTGCGTCTAGTTGTTCTGGTGTGCAGTGCTCTATAACGTTGTTTTGAGGGTAGGTGAAACAGACATTCATACATACAAACATACATACATACATACATACATACATACATACATACATACATATCTATATGGGTTTACTATCGAAGCAACCTGGTCTACCCAAATATGGGAAGGAGCATATTGCTTCCTTTTGCCTTTCAGCTCCAATCCAGGAGCCCTCAGGCAGTCGCTTTCACAACAAACTATTTTGTATTGAATTTATATTTACTGACAAAGAAATAAAGGGAGACAAGTATAGATCTATTTCAAGCTATTTAATTCTCATCAGCTAGCCATACCCTTCTAGATTACTCTAATCTTTGCTTTTCTACTACAGAGAAATGGGTTAAGAGAAAAAAATTTCTAGGGTTTGAATTCATGTGATCAAAGAGCTTACCATTCATGATTCCATTCTTCAAAGGCTGACAGACCCGGAAAGGTTTGAAGATAAGAAACTAAATCTGAATCGATCTAAAACAATTTTTCTGTTTCAGGGAGAAAAGATATTTTATCTCATCAAACCAACCTCTGCAAATATCTCCCTCTATGAGCGTTGGCAGTCAGCAGCAAATCACAGTGAGATGTTTTTTGCTGATCAAGTGGATAAATGTTACAAATGCACAGTTAAACAAGGACAAACACTCTTCATTCCATCAGGTAAGGAAGTGGTTGCAGTTGCTTTCAACATGTTTGTTGGTTTGAATCCTGGAAGTACAAATCTAAAATGATGAGAGCTAAAATAGAGTTATAAAATTTCCAGTTAATTTCTCTAGAATATGAATCCATTGGTTCTGCAGCATGCAATACTCAGTTATGTATCTGTGGAGAGACTACATTCCAAACAACAAATAAGTAACACCACCATGTCATCTTTTAGTAAACCAGATTTGGATTTTTCAAAGGATGAATCTCAATTAGTGATGTCCCGGTGCCTGGAGGCCGTGCGGATCTGGATGGGGAGAAACAGACTCAGGCTCAACCCATCCAAGACCGAGTGGCTGTGGTTTCCGACATCCCGATATAGTCAGTTGGCGCCATCACTGACTATTGGGGGCGAGTCATTGCCCCCCACGGAGAGGGCTCGCAACTTGGGTGTCCTCCGGGACTCACGGCTGTCTTTAGAAGAGCATATGACGGCCGTGGCCAGGGGGACTTTTTATCAGGTCCGCCTGATTCGCCAGTTGCGTCCCTTTCTGGATCGGGACTCGTTAAATACGGTCACTCATGCTCTTGTCACTTCCCGCTTGGACTACTGCAATGCTCTCTACATGGGGCTCCCCTTGAGGAGCACCCGGAGGCTCCAGCTGGTCCAGAATGCGGCCGCGCGGGTGGTTATGGGAGCGACGTGGCGCTCCCATGTGACCCCCCTCCTGCGCGAGCTGCACTGGCTCCTGGTGGTCTTCCGGGTGCGCTTCAAGGTTTTGGTTACCACCTTTAGAGCGCTCCATGGCATCGGACCGGGGTATCTACGAGACCGCCTTCTGCTACCAATAGCCTCTCACCGACCAGTACGCTCCCATAGAGAGGGGCTCCTCAGGGTGCCGTCGGCCAAACAGTGTCGACTGGCGGCCCCCAGGGGGAGAGCCTTCTCTGTGGGGGCACCTACCATCTGGAACGAGCTCCCCCCAGAGATACGGAAGATCCCGGACCTGCGCACGTTTCGCCGTGCTCTCAAAACTTTTCTATTTCAGCAAGCTGGCCTGGCCTAACTCCCCTCTTTTAAATTCTTAAATTTTAAATTTTTTAATTCGTGATTTTATAAATTGGGTGTTTTAATCTGTGTTTTGGCCGAAATATTTAATAATTTTAAGGGATTTTTAATATTTGTATTGTCTGTATTTTATCTTGGCTGTTCACCGCCCTGAGTCCTTCGGGAATAGGGCGGTATAGAAATTTGATTAAATAAAAATAAATAAATAAAATAAATAAATTAGGAATAGTCTTCCAGACATTATTGAACTACATTTCCCAGAATCCTTCACAATTGGCCATATTTGTTCAGCTGTTAAGTATTTTAGTTCAGCAATATTGGTAGGGGTGCAGATTCTTGGACTAGATGTTACAAGGGTCAGAAATTCATATGTACAACACTAATATATGAGCAGTAGAATGGATCATTCCATATTTAACTCTTGCTGAGTCACCTTGTAAATGCCTCACTGAATTTTTCATCATTAAGGTCTCAACTGGAAAGCCAGAGATAAGTCTAGCAAAGAATAAGGTGTTCACAAAGAATGCCTATAGGAGAGAATAAATTACAAAGGAAGGGCATATTCCTTTTCTCCCAGCAGCTGTCTCTTGTCAGTTCCTCCAGTTTCCAGAGCACAAAGCTGTTTCCACAAAAGATTGAACAAATATAAGCAGGAATAGGTGAAGCAAGTGTACTTATCGTATGTTTAGTATCCATTTTTTGACACTTTAGGTATACCCAAATTAGACGATTTTTCATTATACATCATTTATTTTAAATTATTATTTGAGATTCTTGGGTGCCTACTAGAAGTACTGCTCAGTGGTGGGATGCTGCCGGCTTAACAACCAATTTGGTGATCATGTACTTAGTGTGCATGCACACAGTTTTATAAATACTAACCTTCTGTGTTACCACTTGGGAGTAACACAGCTGAGGCACGGCAATCTACTCTGCCACGCCAATCAGTCGAGAAGATAAAGGTAAGTAAAGTGCAGGGGCGGGCGGGCAGGCCAACTTGATCTTTGGAGCGAACCGGTTCACCCCCAGCTGATTGTCGGAGCTACTGATTCGCCTGAACCGGTCCGAACTGGTAGAATCCCACTCCCAGTCCTGCTCACAGATAACCAGATTTGAAGCCTTATTTGTGAAGTTATGCACTAAGGATCAGCTGGGACAACTATTGCATTGCAGTTTCTTTGCATGAAGTTGCCTTTCTTGGTCTTAGAATTGAGAACAGGTTGGGAATTCATGGCTATCTTGACAACCATGGACTTGATCCATGTGTCACAACCTCTTTTGGGGAAATCATATGTTAGTTTTTGGGTTTTGCCTTAAGCAGTACAATATGATCTCTGTCACAGGGAGGAAGGACTATTTAATTGGTTTGCCCCAGTTATATCATGAACCCTACTGGAAGGAGGGGTCTTGTTGCAAGATTTGACTGATTGTTGCTTGGAATGACAAGGTAATAGCACTTTGGATCAGATTGCACCAATCTGGACAGTATGCAAAACCTGGAGGCTTACCGGATTTTAACTCTAGGAGATGATACATCACATGATATTATTTAGACTGAGATTGAGATGGCATTCATTACAGTTGTTTATGATCTTTGAAAAGCTCAGGATAGGGTGGTGCATCCAGCCTAGCCTTGCTGGATCATGATATCCTTCTGGATTAGTTTATGGATTGGGTGTAGGGGGCATCATTCTATGAAGGTTCTTCTCCTTCATTTGAGGCTGATTCTAGTTGGTGTTGAAGGAGGAGACAGATCCATTTTAACACTTAACCCTACATTGTGGGGTCCCCATATGTTACTCTATACTGACTTCTGTTTAAGTCCTGTTAAATAACTTTGATAAGCTGAGGGTACACAGTTGTATATCTCTGCCCCAGAATGCTCAATTAATTTCCTCTAGGTTCTTTATCAGTATCTATGGACAGTCGTGCTAATTTGCCCTTCTTCCCACACATACCCTTTCTGTAGCAAATATTCCATATATCATGGAAACTTTGAGAATGAAGCCTGCTTCCAGCCCTAGGTCTTTCTTACCTAGGAAGCTTTGGAATTTACTGTCCGAAAGGTAGAAGTATTTCCTATATAGCAAACATAAACTAGTTTCCAAAATCTTCCTGAGTTGAAAGGAGTTCCCAGTGAATTGAAAATATGAACAGTGTAATTAAATTGGTGATTATAACAAATGTTTAACAAAAAAATCTTATATGTTTCCTTGGTTTTTTTTAAAGGATGGATTTATGCAACTTTAACACCTGTTGATTGCCTGGCCTTTGCAGGACATTTTCTACATAGTTTAAGTGTTGAGATGCAGATGAGGTGAGACAATTGTGGATAATTAACTATATTCCTTTTTTTAAAAAAATAAAAAGATGAAAATTGGTTACAGCTTTAGGCACATGCCTGAACATGTATATTGAAATAGATTCCCAACTTGTTCTTCCAAACCGCTATCATATCACACTTTACAATTTTCTAAAGCACAGTTGAAAGGTGTAATAACATTTTCCTGTATTTTTATTTCATGTGTTGCACCAGCTTCATTAGAACAATTTTATTTTTTTAAAAAAAGAAACATCATTATTTGCAACATTGTTCAATTACTGTAACTGCAGACATATAATATTATGAAATTGATTATTTCCACTTTTCTAATCTCTGTTTGAATATATTTTCTTGTATTTGTTTACAATTAATATTCAAGTCTTCTGAATAAGTATGAGTAAATTTTGTGTTAGGCTTCAGGAGAATAAATTTTTGGCTACATTAATGATATGATACATTAAGTCAGATTTAATTTTGAGGAATTATGTATAGCAGGGGTCTCCAACCTTGGCAACTTTAAGACTTGTGGACTTCAATTCCCAGAATTCCCAACTTTGCTGGCTGAGGAACTCTGGGAGTTGAAGTCCACAAGTCTTAAATTTGCCAAGGTTGGAGACCCCTGATGTATAGGATTGTAGTGCCTCCTGTGTTATAAGTCCAACACTGTATGTTTTGTATAATTTTGCTGTACATTTGTTTGGAGTCTGTTATTCCTTTGGTAATGATTACCGAGTTATATAAATGCTAGCTGTTCATTTAAAATCATCAAAGATCATGTAAGACACTCTTTGTTTTAAATTTATGTATTTCTGTAGCAACTGACAATTCCAGATAAGTGCCTGGAAATTAAAGCCACACCGGATATATTCTGGGCAATGATGGTATTTTTTCGGTGGGGAGGAAAGACTTTTTGTGATCTTTGCAATTGAAACTTTTTTTGCTGTGTTTCCTAGAGCATATGAAGTTGAAAGACGATTAAAAATTGTCAGCTTAACCCAGTTTCCCAACTATGAAACAGCATGTTGGTATACAGGAAGACATCTGCTGGAATCATTTAAAGGTAAATAGAAGTACCTTTCCTGCTCCTGTTCTATACCGTGGTGTTACTTTCCATTAATATTTAAGGTGGCAACCATACCTAGCCATTTGTTGTAATAATCTACAAGCTTTTTTTTGGAAGGGGGTGGGATAAACTTCACCAATGAAGCACTCAGATTCAATCCTAATTATGTATTTATTTATGTGTTCATATCTCACTTTCTTCTAAGATCTCAGTGACATATATACAGGTGTTCCAAAATTTTATTTCCTTTCAGCAACAATATGAAGTAGGTTAAGACTGCAATGCTCTCTACATGGGGCTCCCCTTGAGGAGCACCCGGAGGCTCCAACTGGCGCAGAGTGCGGCCGCGCGGGTGGTTATGGGAGCGATGTGGCGCTCCCATGTAACACCTCTCCTGCGTGAGCTGCACTGGCTCCTGGTGGTCTTCCGGGTGCGCTTCAAGGTTTTGGTTACCACCTTTAGAGCGCTCCATGGCTTAGGGCCTGGTTATTTACGGGACCGCCTGCTGCCGCAAACGGCCTCCCACTGGCCAGTACGCTCTCACAGAGAGGGACTCCTCCAGGTGCCGTCGGCCAAACAATGTCGGCTGGCGGCCCCCAGGGGGAGAGCCTTCTCTGTGGGGGCACCTACTATCTGGAACGAGCTCCTCCCGGAGATACGGAGGATCCCGGATCTATGCACCTTCTGCGTGCTCTTAAGACCTTTTTATTTCACCAGGCTGGTCTGGCCTAACCTTTCCCATTCTTTTTTAATGTAAATTTTAATGTAAATTTTAATTTGTTCTTCACCTGGGGTTTTAAATTTGTCTTGGGCTAAATTGATTTAATTAGATTTTACTTCTGCTCTTAATTTTTGTATTTTATGTGTTTTATTCTGTGCCTGTTCACCGCCCTGAGTCTTTCGGGAGTAGGGTGGTATACAAATTAAATAAAATGAAAATGAAAAAAAAATGAAAGATTGGTCCACATATCCCTGTTAATCTTTGTGGTTGAATAGTACTTTCAATTTATATCCCCTTGTTTAAGACCAACCTTTGAATTGCAGTACTACAAACAACTAGCTCTAAACTGACCTTAATGTTAATATTATTAACATAATATTGACAACACCTTGATGCTGAAGGTGATTTGAGTATAATACAAGACTGTTTGAAGAAAGGATTGGAATGGTAGCAATCTAGAAGCAAAGATTAACAGGTGAATCCTCAGTATATTTGCCTAACTGCCTTTTAACATTATCACTGTATTTTGTGGTAAACAAATTCCATAATTTCACCACCCATTGTATCATGAGTGGGAAATAAATGTTGTGGGATGGGGGGGCTCACAGCTTGTGGCTCTGTCATTGGAATAATGCTCAGATAATCAGAAATGACAATACCATTTTTCCTGCACATTTTTTTTTCTTTTAGGGCTTTCTTAAGGGCTATAATCAGAAAAGATGCCTGGAGGGCGGTTGGAGATCCTCCCAGTTGGAATCTGACCGAACACAGTTAACAACCCATATTAGGTCTTATCTTGTGGCGATGGAAACGGCGAAACGCCATTATTTCACCGCTCTCATTGCATCTGCAGAAAACCACCCAGCAGCCCTGTTTAGAGTGACCCACTCTCTTTTCAATCATGGAACGAGGGAAGACCCCTTGCAGGGCAGAGCTGAGGATTTTGTACAGTTTCTGCAAGATAAAATCGCTCAGATCCGGACTGGGTTGGACTCTGACTGGGCAGAGTCTATCGAGGAGACGAGGGCTTGTCTTGAAGGTAACATCTGGGTTGGGTTTGAGCCTGTTTCGGTGGATGAAGTGGACAGGATTGTGGGTCGGCTTGCTGTTTCCACCTGTTTATTGGACCCTTGTCCCTCCTGGCTTGTTTCTGCAGCCAGAGAGGTAACTGGAGGCTGGATCCAGGCTGTTGTCAATGCTTCTTTAAAGGAAGGGGTCTTCCCCGCCACAGTTAAAGAGGCGGTGGTTTGACCCCCTCCTTAAGAAGCCTACCCTGGATCCAGACTCCCTTAACAACTATCGTCCAGTCTCCAACCTTCACTTTATAGCGAAGGTTGTCGAGTCCGTGGTGGCACAGCAACTCCCTCAGTTCCTGGAGGAAACAGACTACCTTGACCCGTACCAATCAGGTTTCAGGCACGGTCACAGCACGGAAACGGCATTGGTCGCCCTGGTGAATGATCTCTGGTGGGCCTGGGGTGGAGGCTGTTCCTCTATCCTGGTCCTACTTGACCTCTCAGCGGCTTTTGATACTATCAACCATGGTATCCTGCTGCAGCGACTCGGGGGGCTGGGGATAGGAGGCACTGTTTTACGGTGGTTCTCCTCCTACCTCTCGAGTCGCTCGCAGTTTGTATAGGCGGGGGGACAGAGATCCTCCCCGATGCCCCTCACATATGGGGTGCCTCAGGGGTCAGTTCTCTCCCCCCTGCTCTTTAACATCTATATGAAGTCACTGGGTGAGATCATTCGTCGTTTTGGAGTGAGGTATCATCAATATGCTGATGATACTCAGCTTTATATCTCCACCCCAGGCCACCCTGGGGATGCCCTTTCTGTGATGTCCCGCTGCCTGGAAGCGGTGCGGGCCTAGATGGGAAGACACAGACTCAGACTCAACCCATCCAAGACCGAGTGGCTGTGGATGCCGGCATCTCGGGATCTAGTGGTTCTGTCACTTTTGATAGGAGGGGAAGTACTTACTCCCTCTGAAAGGGTTCGCAATCTGGGTGTCCTCCTGGATTCATGGCTGTCTTTAGAAGATCACTTGACAGCCGTAACCAGGGGGGCTTTCGCACAGGTATGCCTGGTGCTCCCGTTGCACCCTTTTCTAAACTGGGATGCCCTCGCCATGGTCACTCATGCCCTTGTTACTTCTCGGTTGGATTACTGTAACGCCCTCTACATGGGGCTGCCCTTGGGATGCACCCGGAGGCTTCAGCTAGTCCAGAATGCGGCCGCACGGGTTGTTACGGGAGCCTCTCGTTACTCCTGTGTAACACCTCTCCTGCGCAAGCTGCACTGGCTGCTGGTGGTCCTCCGGGTTCATTTCAAGGTGCTGGTACTCACCTAAAAAGCCCTACATGGCTTAGGCCTGGGGTACTTGCAGGACCATCTTCTGTCATCCTCCCATCATCCTGTGCGCTCTCACAGAGCAGGCCTCCTCAGGGTGCCATCAGTCAGACAATGTCAGCTGGTGGTCCTCAGGGGGAGAGTGTTCTCTGTGGGAGCGCTGACTCTCTGGAACGGTTTGCCCACCAAGCTTAGGACAGCCCCCGACCTCCTCTCGTTCCGCCGTGAACTGAAGACGTGGCTTTTTCATCAAATGGACTGACCCGTTAATGGGGTTTTTACATTGTAATAATTTTAATTAATTTTAATTGGATTTTAATTTATATTTAATTCATATTGTTGAATTTTTTTATCTTGTAAGCCGTCCTGCGTCCCTCGGGAGAAGGGCGGCATATAAATTGCAATAAAATAAATAAATAAATAAATAAATAAATGACACATATCTTGGAGGCAAACTTCCCCCATTTCTGTCCTTCAATCCGCAGTCCCCTTTCACAATTAAAAATTGTGTCTCCAACATTTGGAGACACACTGCACACTGGGTTAATTTCACCAAGCTTGTTTGAGGGAACTTAGGCAATGTAAGTGATTAGCTTTGTGGTGGTTTCCAAATCATGTTCATACTTTTATTTTGGAAGAAAATATTCTGTCACCCAAGTTAACATTTTGTTGTCCTATTTTGCCAGTGATCACAGTAGCTACAAATGGAGTACTGAAGTAGCTTGCAGGATACTTGGTGGCCACTCCTGTACTAGACAAATTGTTACTTGGTCTCGATCTCAAGTTTTGGCCTATATTCTTCTGAAGATAACTTTTTAACATCAACTTTCCAAAGCTTCCTAACTTTCCCTACATAAATTCATTCTATGTGTTCCTTTCTTCTTTCTTCTTGTATTCTTGGAATTATTGTTTACTTTGGTCACATGGTTTTCATCTTCTTATGATTTTTAAAAAATATAGTATTGAAAGTGTTCATCATTTCTTAACTGTTGTATCAATATAAATGGCCAATTCGGATATTGGTTGCATTTGTCCCAAATGCTAAACTTTAGCATTTTGCATTAAACTTTAGTAGGCAAGGAGTATAGAAAAAGCTGAATTTGGACTGATATGGCAATTTTTGTCTAACTAGTCTGTTGTACACTTTTGAGATGCTTGCATATGAACATATAATAATGAATCAACAGATGAGGACTCATAGAGTGGAAATGGATGTTTTGCTTAAATGCTTTACTTTTAAAAATATGAAAGTACAGTATTGAGCATGAGAAGCCTACTTGAGTGATGAATTTCTCAAAATCCACAACTTCCCAGTAGGGAAACACAATGAGTTGGGTGAGGGAGACTGAAGTAGAATCTCATATTGATAAAGTAGATAGAGGATGGATTTGCATAAATCATGTAAATTTCATTTGCCTAATTTTTAGCTAGGGACTTAGAGAGGGGGCAACATGGAATAGAGTACTTGGGAATGGTGTATATACTAAGGCAGTGTTGGCTTCAATTCTATGTCTTCGAAAACCAGCATCCCCATTTGGGTCAGCACAGCTTTTATCAGTTAGAATATCATCACTAAATCACTGACTCTGCTTGTGGTCAATCAGAAATTACTGACTCTGCTTTTGGTCAAGTAAGAAAATTAGCTCAGCAAAATACAAATGGGAAGTTCAGGAAGTTCAAGCTCAGATTCAAAACTAATCTTCAAGCTTTGGAACTACTGATTTATGGTCATAGAAGTTCAATTCACAAGCTTTTTGACAGCCAGTTTAACCTCTTACATATATGATTTTAAAAAGCTACATCAATAGACAATTGGTCAAATTCATTGAATGGAATTCTATTTTTTCCCCTCTATTAAGGATTGCACAAAGCTGGAAAGCAGCCTCCTTCCCATTTAGTCCAGGGAGCAAAAATTCTAAATGGTGCTTTCAGGTCTTGGACTAAAAAGCAGGTAGGGATCTTTCTGTTGTATAAATTTGCATGGCAATTCAGAAAAAGAGGAAGTGAACAACTTTATCGGTAACAGAATTTTCTTTCTGTAAGAGCAGAACAGTTTTACATCCAGACTTGTACTGTCATTCAGATGTACTTGTGTCGTAGCACTGAAATGAATGTTTAGGAAATGCACTTGGAATTCTAAGAGGGGGACGTGGCAGAATGAAGTGCAAGAAAGTGGGGGATCACATAAAGGATTTGGGTTGGGAAGGAAACAGATTTTTAAAAATGCCACTTTCTTTCCATAAGTGGCTCTGGACCCTTTCCATACGTAGGAACTTGCTGTGAATGCATAAACGTCCTTTCATAATTCTAAACTACTAGTTTTTTTTCTCCTTTGAATGCTCCATAAAGTTAATATTGCATGATTTTTAAATAGCATAACCTGATAAGATTTCTTGACAATGTTTTAACCTTTTGTATTTTGTTTTATTCAACTGAAGGCTTTAGTGGACCATGAAGATGAACTCCCAGAACATTTTAAGCCAGCACAACTGATTAAGGACCTTGCCAAAGAAATAAGATTAAGCGAAGTAAGAATCCATTATTGAATAAAATACCTCATGCATTTTCTCATAAAATACCAGAAAAAGTTATTCTCATGTCTGTATGATCAGTCAAACTCCTTCTCCTTTAATTACAACAGCTATGGCTTGTAATTAAATGTGGGAAAAAAGTATTCATTTTAGACCATGTATCAATGATGTACGTGTTGAAATGTAACAACTGTATTCCATTACAGTTTGCTTTATCTAATACATCTTTACAGGTACTTCTTGACTTATGATTGACTGTTCACTTAGAGATGGTTCATAGTTATAGTTGACCCTCCAAAAGCTACTTACAACCTGGTCTCAAAGTTATGGTTGCTGCAGCATCCCACAGTTGTTCATCCTTACGGCAGGCTCCATAACCGTCATGAGGCTACCCATATATAACTTCTATTAGATACCTCTCTTCTTTTATCTGCACATAAAAGCAAGACATATATTTATTTCTCACGCTGAGTTTGGACTTAATTTGGCAACTTGATAGGGCAACAAAGAGTAAATGATGAAATAGGAGAGGTTTGCCAAGAGATATGGGAACTCCAGGTTGAAGAGATGCTTTGTCATCTTTGCAGCCCTCCAGGAAGCTTTCAGATGTAATTTTTACTGTAAAGGACAGTAGATAAAATCTCAATAAAATTGTCTGATTTATATTGGTCTTTTACTGATCATTTTACCTTGACAGCAAAATAAAATTCTCTCTTGTATCTCTTTCAAATTAATTTTAACTGCATTCCTTTAAAACTGATTAGCAATTAAAATAAGAGGCTGTCTTCATTTCTTTTTTATTTCTATTGTTTTAGTAAAAAAGAAAAATAGGAAAAACTAGGATTAAAAAAAACCCCAAATGAATAATAGAAAAAACAATTTAACAAATCTCTATATTTAAAATTATTATATTTTTCTGTTATAAAATATTGGTGGTGACGTTTTCTTAATAAAAACAACATTTTTTATAGTATAAGACATGTTTAAGTGAGGCCTTTTCAGATTTATTTATTTATTTACATTAAATTATATGCTGCCCATCTATTTGTTGAGTGATTCTTTTTCTATAGAATCTATAGAAACTATACAAGACATACAAAGAAATAAAGGCAACCCGCCACATTAATGCTCAGAACCAAAGTATGTAACATTTTATGTTGGTGTATAAGGTACATTTTTCTGGAAAAACATACCAAAATGGCATTGCTTTATTGCAATATTACATGTAACAAAATAAAAACACTGTACAAATTACAAAGTGAAATAGTAAGTGGTATAAATTGTTTTTCAATGAATCATACCATTTGGGTTCAATATTCTCAGTCCCATCATGAAATTTAAAAATAAACTATAGGAGAATAACCAAAGAATGGATTATATCCTCAGTTTTCTATAGTTGTCATAAGTGGAGCAAGATACGATAAAACCGTAAAGCAACTCTGGCTTTCTCTCTGAGTACTGTCAATCTTCAGTAGTTTTCTTTAGAAATCTTTGGGAAAATTCTGAAAATAATGTAGAAGTTTAGCTATTTTGTAGCAACAAAAATATGAACGTTGACCTGACAATATGCTTGTGTTCTCTTTTCCTGAAGAATGCTTTGAAAGTCAGCAAACCTGAAGTGAGTGTTAATGTGAATGTTGAGGAAATCACTCCTGTGGAGAAAGAAGAAATACCGTCACCTCCACCACAAACGCCTCCGCCACCTCCTCCGCCACCATCGCCGCCTCCACCACCACCTTCTCCACCACCAACACCGGCTGAAAAAGTCCCTAAGAAAAAGACTCCCAAAGCAATAAAAGCACCGAAACCCACCAAGCTATCTAAACCTCCCAAGCCACCTAAACCTCCCAAGCCCCCCAAGCCCCCCAAGCCCCCCAAAACCCCAAAAGTAAAGGGGGAAGGGAAGAAAAAAGGCAAAAAGGTTAAAGAACCGCCTCCACCTGCCATTCCAAATTTAGACCTTCTTGAGGCCCACACAAAAGAGGCCCTAACAAAGATTGAAACACCAAAGAAAGGAAAGGTGAGCAGAATATTAACTGAATATTCAGTATTAATTTGGGGCCAGAGATCTCTTGGTAGTTAGTTAGTTAGTTAGTTAGTTTGTTTGTTTGTTTGTTTGTTTGTTTATTTATTTATTTATTTATTTATTTATTTATTTATTTATTTATAAAATTTGTATGATCTCCTTTTTAGCTCATGGGAATAGGCGAGCTTCCAAATTCTCAATATCCAAGCATAATTTATAAACATCATTTCCAAAATTGATATACCTTGCTCAGTCCATGCCCTTGACTTCTAGCTGCCCTGGTTTTGTATGGGTTCCCTCTATGAAATTAGATGTGGTGACAGTGACAGTTTTCTCTCTGTGCTTTTTACTAGTTTATTGGATTGTTTTATTGTATAAATCAGTGGATGATCACACTAGAGTGGGGATCTAAGATGGTAAAGGTTGTAGTACCTTTACCAGTGTCACTGGCAATATGAAGAATTTGAACCGATTCTCACAACTTGTGCAATCCATAGAGTTCTCCAGCATGTGGACTAATCAAAAACAGGACTCCATTACTTCATTAAGAATTTCTAGGACTTAATGAAGTAATGAAGTTTTGTTTTTTATTAGTCCACATGTTAGAGATTGCTATGGATTGCACAAATTGTGAGAATTGGTTCACAATATGACAAATAGAATATTAGATTATCAGATTAACCCGTTTTCCTTATTATCTGCACCTTATAGTGCTTTTAAAATAAACAAAAAAACATTTTTTTTCTTTGATGACCTTTGATGTTTTAACTTTTGGTGTCATATTATTTCTAGACAAATCTCAGCTCCTATTATTTTGAAAATTCATACTAGCCAAATTGACATATGGGAATTAGTAGGAGAGAGACATGTTTTGTTGTCTTTTCATTTGAAATTAGCTGCCAATCTCTTTATTACTTTTAACTAGGCTGCCAAGAATGCTTTGAATACCCCTGCTAAAGAATCCGTTGATAAGCAAAATGAAGTGGAAAAGTTTGAGATTCGGGAGCAGAATAAATCCAAAACGGAAGCAAAATGGAAATATAAGGTACAGCCTCTCATATCTTGGGCGTCAATAAACATTTTAGTAAGGACCATACTTAAGTTTAGTGCTCATTAGGAATACCGATTGGAGAAATGTTCTCTGAAATTTCTCCTGGTATCTTTTTTGGTGCTATTTAGATAGTTTGCTGCTCCAACGAATTACTTCTTTAAGATTTTTTTTATTGAACTTTTTCAGAGATGGAGATCTTTTTTTTTTTTTTGACTTTTAGAAATGATTATCACAAACTAATTGAGAGTGAGGGCAAGATTTGGTGCATATCATTAGCACAAAAATACCTGAAAGTTAATTTGTTTTTTGTTTCTCTTTTTGGGGTTTTTTTGGGGGGGAGGAGTTACAGGGAAAAAAGGATATTTTGCAGTTTCATCTCAGTACTAGAAAACTATTTCACTTATTGACTGATTGTTTTTTGTCCGTTTTGGGGACAAATTGCGTTGCCAAAAATGATTGCAATTGAATTGATTCAGTTCAACTAAAGTCAACTATTTATTTAATTGTTGACATATATGCTGCCCATTTGTTAACAAACAACATTTAAAGACAGTTTGCAATTAATACAGCATATGAAACACAGAATGTAAAAAAAAATAATTGATTAAATGATTAAAAATGAAATAAATTAGTAAGAAATTATTTGGAGTTCAGAATCATAGAATATGTATGAGAAACACTAATTATTGCCAATATTTGCACAAATATTCATTTAGCATAGTTCTAACTATGAGAAACTTCTGCTAAGGTGAGGAAAAAGAAGCAATTTTTGCTGATACTCTTTCTCCAAATAATTTTGAAATACCAGTGTAGTAGTGAAGAGGAGATTTGAATAGGATTCTGCAATGAGGCAGGAAAATAAGTGAACAATGCACCTTGACTCTCTCCTTTCAGCTACATTGTGCATTGGATTTCATTTTGTAGATTGAAATTCTTCTATTCACAAGAGATCTCTGGATTCAGTTTACTGTGCAATTAGTATAATCACTTGACCAATGTACAGTCCCATTTGTATTGATGTATTTTTAATTGATCCTATAGATGCACATTTATTTCACAATTTGGGAAATAGTTTTCATCAACACAGCAGAGGCACAGAGCTAGTGTGCGAGTCCATCCTGTCTCTTGTGCCCTGTCTCATCATAAATCTCACTGGAGCCTGATTCACATTTTCACATCCATACAAAGTAAGATGTGAGCTTTTCTGTGTGATCCAGTTGCAGATGTCTGTGAAATGTCACGACCCATTGGATTTGTTTGTTGGAAATTTAAGATACAGCACATTTTTAACCAATATCTTGTGCCCTTACATACATAACCAGTGGAATGGTAATTGTTTTCTATCACCCCCAATTTCGTTCTGCTTTCCTCTTAGTTTTGTCACATAAAATTGAACTCAATGTTTTAGACTGCAGTTAAAATTCCATGGCAGTTTTAAGGCTCCAAGGAACATTATTGTTTTAAGCAGCCAACCATGAGGACCATTTCAGTACTCTTGTTGCTGTGTTACTGAACTATTTAGGGTTTTCCTGAGCAGCCCTACTACCAATTAAGTCAACATATGTATTTTCACTTTGTAACAGATTATATGACTCAGAACAGTTCTTATGGAAGGAAAGCTGGGATGTACACTGTGCTATTTATATGCCATTGATTCTATGCAGCAACAAATAGTCTAGCAGCTGAAATAATAACTGTTGCCCTCTAATTTTCAGAACAGTAAACCTGATTCATTACTGAAAATGGAAGAGGAGCACAAACTGGAGAAGACACCATTATCAGGAAATAAAGACAACAAATTTATGTTTTCTTTCTCCAACAAGAAAATACTGGGGTAGGTGAACACTGACTAATAAAAATAGTACTTGCTCTGATTTTTGCAACCCTTCCACATTTCATAATTTGCTAGATATGTCCTATAATATTATTCCCAGTTAAACATAGATATAAGTACATATGTACTTATATATGTATACTATATGTATACATATGTATACACATATATACATATGTACTTATGTAGGTCTTTGGTTATTTGGGTTTTCTCCCGCGTAAAATTCATCATCAGAAGCACGAAGCCGAGAACAGCAGCCTGAAGATGACTGAATGAGACTTCGTCGAAACATTGCCAAGACACCTCCAATTTTAGACGGGACAAAACCCGAATAACCAAAGACCTACATACAAATACCCGCGAAAACCTCAGAAAACAAATACGTACGTACGTACACACACACACACACACACACACACACACACACACTCATATATATAATATTTACTTATACATATATAAGTACATATAGATTTGTACCGCTCTTAACATTTTATTTTATTTATTTGTTAGATTTTTATCCTGCCTGTTTTACCATATTAGCAACTCAAGGTGGCAAACATACCTAATACTTTTTCCCTCTCCCATTTTCCCCACAATAACAATCCTGAGTAGTTGGGCTGAAGACAGATTTGACCCGTCACCCAGCTGACAGGATTAGAACTCACAGTCTCCTGGTTTCTGAGCTAACTCCTTAACAACTAGACCAAACTTTTATTCCATTGGGCTATTTGTTCTCAGCAAATTGAAGTCTAGAGCTAGAACTACAGAAATGAGTTGATCCCATCTAAGTTGATTCAGTGGTCAGGTCGTTAAGGGAGAGAAGGAGGGAAGAAAGAAGGAAGTGAGGAGGCAAGGAAGCTTTATTTGCCCACAGTCCTATAGTATGGGAAAAAAACAAACAAACAAACAAAAGTTAAGGGCCTCATTTCTCTCAATCAGAAAGGGAGGGAAGAACTGGCTCTTTAAAAAAGCATTAGAGATCTGAGGTTTTATGGGAGGCACCTGCAAAGTGACAATGTTCTGATGACATTTGGTGCTATCTTTCATGATGATCATAGGCTGAATTGTTGTTCCAGTAATGCAAGGTATATTCAATAGTATGATTTATTTCTATTATGTTAGGAATATATATTCCTTGTTTGGTCATTAGGGCTCTTATCAGTTCATAGTCAACAATAAAGAACAAAATAAATAATATATATTTATTTTGTTCTTTATTGTTGACTATGAACTGATAAGAGCCCTAATGACCAAAGCAAGCATAAAAGCCTATGTAATTAAGGACTAAATAAGCAAAGGTACACTATAAGCCTTTTGGATTTTAATTAGAAAAGAGTGATGTATCCAGAAATGATTTATCTCTGTGGAGATATAGAAGGCTAGAGCTATAGTTTAATTAAAATCTGACTCTTAAAAGAACTGTCAATAAAGATTTCATTTTGGGATAAAATTGTAAGCATAGGAGGCAGACAGAAGAGTTGATAGATGATGGGCCCATCCCTTAAAGATAAACCTTTGACTTAGTCTTGGTAGCTTAGAGCATCAGACTTGACAGTACAGTCTTCAGATCCTGGTGGTTTCCAATGTTTTTTTCTCACACCGGTGAGGATGTGGAGGCCCAGATTCCCTGCCTTTACTAGAAAATTGGCATGATACTAAGTCAGGCATGACTGATTCAAAGTTAGGATAAAGATTTTCTGTTTGCAGGTGAGGGTCCTTGTTACATAATGAAGAATCTGGTCAATTATTAGGACATGGGGAAGGAATGGTCCTAGTAATGCCTGGTGAGAAGTAGTGTTGGATCAAGAACAGCTTCAAGAATATTTTAATTTAGAAATCTACATATGCCATTGCATGATGCTATAGGTGCTGACTTGCTATTCAGAAGACCTTCCATCTGTCCTTCTTGCCTAGTCATTTGACTCTACTGGAGTGGGCAGCCATTATAAATTCCTTTTCCTTTTTTCCCTAACTTCAGTGTGCCTTCATCCTTTCGATTTATAATTTGGGGAAAGAATAGAAAGGAATATAGAAGTCATAATGGATGCTACTTATCTGTAATCATAAACATGTACTTTCATATTGGTACAATCCCATGTCAGCACCCTCCCTCTCAATTTTTAACAGTCTTAAACATCTGCAACTGCTTTAATCAATGTTATCACCATCATTAATAACATTTCATTTCATTCAGTCTAACCTGAAAGTAATTATTTCATGCTGTGTCTTGACAACTAAGATAAATGAACTCATTTTTGTTACCTTTGTTCAGATTTTTCTTCTGAAGTAAGAAAATCTCATTTTAGTGATACTAATGATACTGCTCAGTTGGCAAAGACTGAATTCAATAGTACTAGTGGATATTAATAATAGAACATTTGGTTGATAGCATCTTTCATTTTTCATATTATTTTTTCTGCATAAATGAGTTTGTCTGTAGAATGCATATGAACTATTTATTTCAGAGTTTTTATATATGATTATATTGTGGACCAGATGGTGCTGCATTTGATTTTAATACAGTACATTTTTTCTAACTTTCAAGATCAATAGAGGTCGATCAGTTCCTAGCAAATGAACACCTAGTCTATCAGATGAGTTTTAAAATAAACCACTTAATATTAGTCTACCAATGCTGGTCAAGCATTGATAATTATATTTAAGTTGATTCTCTTAGCAGAAAGATAAATACCATCTGCCACATAAAAGAGATAGAAGTTTTATTCATAATTATTTGTTTGATTCTCTAGTAATCTATTTTTTATACTTCTATTTAAACCAGACATATAATTGATTTTGTTATAGACCTATTATATTGACCAAATTATGAACAAGGAGAAAATAGGTAACACAAGTTGAGTATTTATTTATTAGTCCTTTATGCTGCCTTTGTTACTTTATAATGTACCTAATCAGTGGTAAAATCCATTTTTTTTTACTACCGGTTCTGTGGGTGTGGCTTGGTGGGCATGGTGTGGCTTGGTGGGCGTGGCTTGATGGGATTGGCAGAAGGATACTGCAAAATCTCCATGCCTGCCCCACTCCAGGGGAAGGATACTGCAAAATCCCCATTGCCACCCAACTCTAGGGGAAGGAGACTGCAAAATCCCCATTCCCACCCCACTCTGGGGCCAGCCAGAGGTAGTATTTGCTGGTTCTCTGAACTACTCAAAATTTCCACTACCAGTTCTCCAGAACCTGCTGGATTTCACCTCTGTACCTTATACTCCTTCCTTCTGTTATTTTCCCAACAACATCAACCCAGTGAAGTGGACAGAGAGTGATTGGCTCAAGATCATCCATGGGCTTTCATACTTAGGGCAGGACTAGAACTCATAGTCTTCTGGGTTCTAGGCCAACACCTTAACCACTACACCAAATTGGCTTGGAAAGCTCCATTATGTGTGCCCACTTGAAGTACCCTTAGACAATTCTCATTCATTCTCAGGGGAGTTGTGCAGAATAACTTTTCAAATGATTGTTTCCTGAGCATAATTGCTGATGACTCAGTGCCAGAGAGCTTCAATGATTATTATAAACTTAACCTACTCTTGCAAATTCACTGTCATGGTTTGTGAAACATACATTTCCATAGCATGTTATTGTTGTTGTTGTTATCACTATCCCAAATAAATCCACTGTAGGATAAGGCCTCTTTATTGAAGGCAATGGACCATTATTTGCCACACAGATCCAGGCACAGCATGTGTACAAAGGAATCCATGAATTTATTTCACATTGTAATCATGTGCATGAACAGATAAAACTTGTAGCTTAGCAAACGAATTGAAGAATGAAAACGAAATAAGCAGAATAAGAAATGTCTCATTTTTAATAATAAACTTGAAATTGTATCTTTTTTATAATGAGAATATTTTTTTTAAAAAAAGTTTTATTTTTAATGAGAATAAATGTTACCCTCTGTATTTCTATTGTTTTTTCTTCTGTAATTGGAGTGTGATATCTCACTTCCTTAGTAAAGGTCAGGGGTGAAAAGTTACCGGTTAGGACCGGTTCGGGCAAACCGCTAATAAAAAATGCTACTGGTTCGGGTGAACTGGTATTTCTGACGATCAGCTGGGCAATGATCAGCTGTGATGCACGATTTAGATTAGCTAGAATCATTGGATTTCCTGCTTTCTAGCTAATCTAAATTGCGTGGCACAGTGGATTCCCCCACCTTGCTGTTCTACTTACTGTTGCAGACTTGAAAGGCTTCAAAATGTTCATTTTTTAGCACTGCGTGGGCGTGCCTCAATACAAGGGTGTGCTCAGTAGCAGACTCACAGAACCAGTAGCAGACTTCACAGGATTTCACCACTGGTAAAGGTTATATGTTTCTGAACTGTACCATGTAACATGTATGTGTGCATGTTTGAGAGAGAAAGCCAGAGGTAGAAATATGGAAACAGAAACTGATGGCAGAAAAAGACCTAGTGGTCCATCAAGTCTGCCCTGTGAGGGATTTTTTTGTTAATTTTTGTCAGAAGATGGATATGTGTTTATCCCAAGTATGTTTAAACTCAGTTACTGAGGATTGACCCACTACCTCTGCTGGAAATTGGTTCCAAGCGTCTACTATTCTTTTTGTGAAGTAATTCTTTTTAACATTACTTTTGAACTTCCCTCCTGTCAGTTTGAGATTATGCCCTTTTTCTTGTTTTTTGCTTAATATTGAAAATACTTCCTTCTAGAACAGGGGTGTCAAACTCAAGGCCTGCAGGATGGATCTGGCCCACAGGGTGCTTAAATCTATCCTGTATGGCCGGCCTGGAAATAGCAACGGACTGGCCCACAGTGCCTCTGGCAGCCACAACGGGTCTCTTGTGCCCAAGCTTGCATTACTAACATTATGCAATGGACTTACGCAATGTCACAAGAGTGCTTGGATCTGATTTGGATTTTTCTACCACTGCAAATGTGGTGCTAACAGCTTTCCAATTAGCTGAAGTTTGGCTTCCCCTGCAAATACGTTGGACTTCAACTCCCAAAGTTTCTCAGCTAGGCTACCTATGGATTATAAAAGTTGATGATCAACATATTGATTGGCTTGTTTATTAGATTAATTTTACAATACAATACATTTTGGCTGGCAAAGTGCTGCAGGAGGTCATCCAGGCCGAAAATGTGATGTGTGGGGGGGACGCATGTGGCTCCCCCACATCCCGTTTTGGCCGACAAAGTGCTGCAGGAGGCATCTGGCCTGTCTTCCCCCCCGATCAGCCTGTTGAGAACTACAATGCTGATTCAGCCCTCAAAGAAATCCAGTTTGACACTCCTGTTGTAGAACCTTATTCACACCATTAATATATTTAAAGGTAATGTGGTGTAGTGATTAACATGAAGCCATGAAATTGACATTCTACTTGTCTCTTGTGCACAGAAACTGGCTGGGTGCCTTTGGGCTGGTCAGTGTCTTTCCTCCTTAGATTGGGAAGTGAAAAACTGACTGATAGTCAGCACTGAACAAGGGTGGTAGATTATTGTCTATAATCTTCAGTGATGATTCATTCAGCACTGGATTGATCTGGGATACTGCTGATGATGATGTTGATTGTAACGATGGTGGGTTTAGATACCTAGTTGATTAAAAAATCCCCAGAAGGGATTTTGGTCATACTGTATATCTTGCTGGCTACTTTCCAGTAATATTGGAAAATGTATTTATATAGTGCACTGTTTGTCTACATATACCCATTTGTGGATTCTAAGTATTTGTTATTTATTGTAGGTCAAAATGGCTCTAATGTGATGAAATTTCTTATTTAAAACTTGTTTCAGTATTGCCCTTCCTGATTTAATTTCCTTTATTTTAATAGATCAAAGGGAATGAAAACTCAGTTGAATCCTGGTATATTTGGGTCACAACAAAATTTCAAAGAAGATAAAGCAAAACCTGTGAAAGATGAATATGAATATGTCTCAGATGATGGAGAATTGAAAATAGACGAATTTCCAATTAGAAGGAAGAAAAACACCACAAAAAGAGATTTATCATGTAAGACTGTTTCTACTCTTGTATAAATTATGCTATTCATCACAGCAAAGCAAAACCAAAACAAACTGAGCTGAGGATAACTTTCTGTTCAAAGTAATGACTAGCAAAGTCTCTGTGTGGCCCTTAGAGTTGCAAATGGCAAGTCACAGACTGTTGCAGGTGTGAGTCTAATTGTTTGGACAGTATTATTTTTTACCCCAGCTTTGTTTAACCTATTTGCAGATTTGTTATATTTTGGGATGATTCAGTACATATGCATGAAGGCCTTTTAGCTAAGAGTGTATGTGCAGAAATGAAATATTACCAGGGTAATCGGAAATACATTTTAAAAATGAGATGGATTGCCTACATGCTGTTTTTTTATTTAGTAAATCTAAAAACTCTATTTCAATTTCTTCCTAGTTTTATCAGATAAAAAGGAAACCACACAGCACACTCCAGTGAAGAAGCCAAAAGTGGAATCAGTATTATACAAGGTATTCTGTCAGTATATAATTACTCTCATGCCTAATAGGATTTGTGCCACTTACCAGAATCATAGACATACATTGCATATTTATTGCTTTTTATACACTGACAAGAAAAGTTTTTCCCTACAGTAATGCACATTTCTTTCCCAAAAGAATTTAACATCTGTCTATATCCTACAGAGAGTTCTATTCATTTCTCTTTAATATCTTGCAATCTTCTTCAATTGGTTCTTCAATCCTCTGGAATGTATTTAGAGCTCTAGGAAGAATCCATTCCACCAAGTGTCATTTCCAGTGATGAATAAATACATTTTGACATAATACTGTATTTATCATTTGGTTACACAGAAAAAAAACTTCTCCAAAAAGGGTAGAGGACGTTTTCTGCTGAAACTCTGGGTATCTATTGCAAGTCAGTTGTTAATTATGTTATTCTAGTTGGATGAGTGATTTGACTGGTTTATGGAAACAGCTTCCATCTGGAATCTAGTGCCCCTCTGGTGGCCTTCATCTAACATAGGAGATTTCTTTTTCTCCTCTCTTTGGTGCAACCAACCCTTTGCTCCTTAATAATAATTAACTAATAATTCTGTGAGTTGGAGAATCTTCAGGAACTGGATTTGAGGATACAGAGGCAAACAAGAATTGTCTTCTTCTCAGTACATCAGCAGACTCCAACAGAATCATTTAGGATATATCTTTCTAGATTACTACCGTAAAAGTAATTTTTATTGTGCAAAAACATTTTTCTAATAATATCTGTCAAATAACAGCTGAGTCCAATTAGTACAATTTTTATTTATTTATTTAGCAGGTTTATATAGCTGCCCATCTCAGAGAACATGATTCTGGGCAACGTACAACCATAGTGACAACCAAAAAAGTATAGCAATCATTAAAATACTAAGGTACAAATAAAAAGAAAAAGTAGAAAAACCAAGACTGTGGGAGAACTCTTATAATGCAACCATCTCCCAGGCTCCCAATGGATTCCTAGAAGTCATTGGAAAAATCATGTTTAGCATTTCTGGAAGGCTAAAAGCGGTGGGGCTAATCTCAGGGTAGGTGGTAGGATGATGCCACTGTGGAGAAGGCATGTCTTCTGGATCTCATCAGATGGAAATCCTTAGTAGATGGGAACCACAATATACCCATCTAGTAAGGAGTTCCATCTGATGAGATCCAGAAGACATAGTGGCCATAGTGGCCACAGCTGCTGGCCCTAATGGGACAGAAGATATAATTGGGAAGAAGTGCTCCTTCAGATAACCTGGTCCTATGCTATGTACGGCTTTAAAGTGCTGCTTCAAAACCAGCAGGTTGAATTACATCCAGAAGCTGACAGGCAGCCCACATAGCTCAAGGACATGCACCATACTGGGGGCTCAAACGAAACAAACAAAAAGTTTAAAAGTTATTATATTTATGTAATTACTTACCAAGGACATATAAATTATATTAAAGTAACCAAAATATCTTTACAATCCCCAAGGCATATCACAACATTTGAGTATCCCTAACGTTTGGGAATTGAAAAATTTGCCACCCCCTACACCATGCAGCCACACTCTGCAGCTTCTGAAGCTTCTGGATGCTCTATAAGATCAGCCTTATCTAAAGCATGTTGTAGTAATCCTCTCTAGGTGATCAGGGCATGAGTAACTGTTGGGTTATACTCTTCCTTTGACTTTTGCAGAGTGATGACTCCTCTGATGAAGATTCTCTTCACATTGACACAGAGGCCAAGCCAGGGCGCAATTCTAAAGCGAAGAAAGAGGCTGCAAGTTCAGCTGGCATTCTAGATCTTTTGCAGGCAAGCAAGGAAGTTGGGGGTTTAGAGTACAACAGCAACAGGTATGTATAAGGATAGTTAACCTCTTTCTTTACATAATATGTATTTCAGGGGTGAAATGCTCCTGGATCGGACTGGATTGCCTGATCCGGTGGCGATCTTGGCCGGTGGCTCGGTGATCCGGTCGCGATGGCGGAGCAAAGCTCTGCCCACCCAGGGTGTCATTACTTCCTGGTTTTAACCAGGAAGTAATGTGTTTTTTACCTTCTGCGCATGCAGAGAAGGTCTGCGCTTCCAAACCAGTACGGAAGGTAAGTAGATTTCACCCCTGATGTATTTATAATATTTCTTTGATTTATATAGCTTATAAAGGTTAAGACACAGAGAACACACCCCAAAATGATGGAGAATATAGTGGCATCTTAAAGATTAGTAAATATATTAAGGCAGAAGTTTTCCTGAGATACTTTTCATTTCACTAGTCCATTAAAGGTTGTGCAAAGTAACCTGAATTCTTCAGTGAAGAATTAAAATCTGTTTCTTATTAATTATATTTCATATAGTGTAGTTTAATGGTTAACACATCTTTTTCACCTAGCCAGGCTGGCTTGATCCCATCCCTTCGGTTTTAATTTGTAATTGGTTTTAATCAGGGTTGTTTTAAATGGATAGCCAAAATTATTTAATGTTTTTAAATTGCTTTTAAATTTTATATGTTATGTTTTACCATGGCTGTTCACCGCCCTGAGTCCTGTTGGAGAAGGGCGGTATACATATAAATAAATAAATAAATAAATAAATAAATAAATAAATAAATAAATAAAGAAAGAAAGAAAGAAAGAAAGAAAGAAAGAAAGAAAGAAAGAAAGGAAGGAGAAAGCTTTGTGTAAATGTAAAGATCTAACCAATGTTGGTAGATTCTTTTTTACAATGCATCATATACAACCCCTATTTATTTACCCAAATTTATTAAAAGCCATGGCCCTCAGAACCCAGTCAAAGGTCACCACAATATTACAGGATTTAGTGTAGTTGTAGGAGAAAATGATTAAATATGCCAAAGTAATTATATGTATTCATTTGATATAATTTATTATGCATTAATATAATCAAATTTTGGAAGTACATCTGATTCTGTCTACCTTTTGAGATTCACCCTCAATATCCCACCAAAAGGCAAATGCAAATCTTAGGTCCCTCCACTTCCCAGTTTAAGTTATCTATCCTAGGGCATTACCCTAAAATAGATATGTAGTATGTGTAACCATTAGTAATCCATTGAATTGATGATCTCTGATTTGTTGAGACCAATTAATTTGACTAATACATATTTTTTTTCCAAAATGGACACTTTGCTAGAGGCTGCATAATGAATTTATCTCACAATTAATTTCAAAGTAGAACATTATAAGTTTGCTTCAAACAAAGGATTGGGAATAAATGAAACTCCAGAAAAACTCAAGGTATAAATCATTCAGTACTTCATTGAGAAGGACTTCTTCTCAACTCTTCAATTTGGAGTTGGTCAAGCAAATCTGGACAGATGTTATTAAATCTATATTTGAGAAGTTTGTGAACAAAATACCCCTTCCATTGTTGGAACAATCCTTTGTATGGCACAAGTGTCTGGTGGGTGAGCTTTGCTGCACTGCAGTATCTCACAATGTATGGGAGTAGTCCTGTTCTAGAGCAATTCAGAAAACTAATACAGCAGTTGATAAATAAATAAAGATCTGGCTGCCTAGTACTCCTCATTGCACCAGATTCAATTTATTTGTTTAAATAGGTATCTATATCAGTGTTATCCTTCTGAAATCACAAGTAATGCCATACACAAAGATGCAGGTATTGATTCATAGCTAGAGAGATTCATAGCTAGAGAGATGCTAGATCTCCCTGTAGAAATCAAGCTATTCTTTGCAAATTGGAATTGTATTTGAAGAATCTCCAAACAGGCACAAATTTCTGGACCTGTGCTGTAGAAATAATACATCAAGGTACAGAGTAATGTTTCACCAAATTTCACCCCCAATAAGATTTCTAATACTTTTTATCACAACCATGTTGCCTTTCTGAATTATTCTGAATTAATTGGATTCTTGAAATAGCAGAAATGGAAAAACAAACAGTCTGTGTCTGGATAAAAGAACTGGAATGATCTTTTATACTTCATTTTTAGAGAAATAATTATTATTCGTAATGCACTGGAATTTATATATTATATTTTCTTCACAGAGAAATCTTTTTTTGTAATTACATATAGAACTTTTTAAAAATTACATATGTGGCAATCCTTGAACAGTTAAAGTTTGTTTATTCAAAACAAAACTGGCAGACTGACAGAACTAATCATGGTTTTGACACATAACAGATAAAATTAGGTGTAAATATATTTTACTACACAACTTTCATTTTGCATATTTCTCCTCCCTAGATACCTTTTTAAATTTAGTTAGTACTCACTAATTAGTACAACATAGTGCAACAGCATTATATACAAAAATCATTAAAGGATCAACATCCTTTAGCCTGGTGGCTCAGCAGATTAAAAGCATTGTGATTAACACCAGCTGTCTGTAATTACTGTAAGTTCGAATCTCACCAGGCTCAAGGTTGACTCAGCCTTTCATCCTTTCTAAGGTAGGTAAAATGAGGACCCGTTTGTGGGGGCAATAAGCTGACTTTGTATAAATATACAAAAGTATGAAGGCTATTGCTTAACGCATTGTAAGCCGCCCTGAGTCTCTGGAGAAGGGCGGCATATAAATCAAATTTAAAAAAAACATAACCTTACTTTGATAAATATAAGAATAAAAAGGAGAAGGGACAGGGGCTGGGTAGGCCTGGGAACCATGTTATAAACAGAACAAATTGATCAAAAGTCTTCCTCCTTACCTTTTCTTGAAAAAAAGATTCACTCAAATGTTGACAGTCAAGACTTATCATACATATGTTTTTTAAAGAACAAAGAGATCTATGATTATGCTATTATTATATTCAGCCAGAGAACCAATCTTAATGATGTGTAGAATTCTGCACCAGCCATTCATTATGTATGAAAAAAAACCTTTCTTCGGTATTTGCTGTCATTAAAGAAAAATATATGCTAATAATCACTACAAGTACAAAAAGGGGATATGATTTTCCAGGGTTTAATAATTGTTTCCTGTTTTATATTTCACTTTGAGCAGATCCAGAATTACTAACACACAAATATCCTTAATGAAAAACACATTGGGCGCAATCCAATGTAAACATTTCTTGCACAGATTTTATTGATATTAAGGAAATTGTTCAAGAGTAGGAGCAACAGAATCTTTAAACCCAAGGCAAAGTGACAGGCAATTCAGTTTAAAAAAACACAGCCCTTTAGGAGTCTCTTCCACTTGAGTTCGTGCTTGAATGCTCTGTCACTTTAAGAGTTTGTGAAGAACTTGGTTTCCCTCTGCCTGCCCAGCCACTGGTTTTGATCAGATCCCACAATTTATTTGCTAACACTCACCTTCCTCTAGGCAGTTCCCCTCTAATTTTCCCATTTGGCAGGCAACTTTTGATGGTCCATTTACATTTGATTCAGGGTTCAAGGTTTTAAGAGAGCTCTTGGAGAAAACAAAGAAATGTCTTAAATGCTCTTAGAGTTGATGATAGTAATAAAATCAGGTTTGCTAATTTTTGGCATAGCACTACAAAAGGACAAATTCCTTAAAACACCAACTCTATCCAAAAATGATCCAAACATAACCTGCTGAACATCATAGGGTGTTTTTCCAGAGTCTAACATATTTTAGAATAGGTTGATGTATTGTCTCTCTTTTCAGGAATTTCTCTTTTGAACTCATTTTCTTAATGAGGGGAAGCAAGTGCTCACCCATATCCTGTATTACTAAAAAGAGCTACTGTTGCTGTTTTCATTTCTTCAGGGCTCCTCTTCAAGAAAATTGACTTATAAATACAGTTGCATGGCCGCTGATACATTAGCATGATACAAAGCTCAACAACACATCTTTCTGCAAATATGAATGCATGCTGTTTATGCATTCAAAATAAACAATTATCACGGCAGGTGCAAAACTCCCTTCCAGTCAGTAATTTGCCACACCTTTGGTGGAAATAGTAGCTTCACAATATTGTTTGTAGCCAGTTGAGCCTTTGGAATTTTCTTCCCGCAGATGTCTTCCAGCTCAAAAATAGACCTCCTGTATGCATTGAAATCCCCCCCCCTCATTTTTGATAATATTCTGAGGCTGTGTAGGCCAGTCTGAAACATTTATTTTTCTTTTCTGTCAATACTTCATGGTCAATTTGGAGATATACCATCGTTTGGTTTGCCTTCTTGCTGAAATAGCCAGCTTGTTGTCAACTTCAGTTTCTTCACTGACTGTGGGACATTAGGCTGTCTTAGGATATGTTGGTATTTAGTTGAATCCCCCTCCCAGCATTTTCTATGGCAATGGCTGTCACACATTACCAAAGCATAAAGGAGCCATTTTCATCCACCTTTCCCCCCAACCCCCAAAGTGTATCTTGTGCAATTGTAGCCAAATCAGTTATGGTTTTGTCAGTCCAAGGAACTTTGCTTGAAAACATTCCAGGCTTATAAAGTTTTCTGTTGCATATTTTGTTGATGGTTCTTACAATGAAGTCAGAGAAAGTGTTTCCTTCACTCATGCAGATTATTGTGGAATCAGCAACATTGTGATGTGGAACTGTAAACAGCTACCCCAATGGCATCTAGAATTATACTGTCATCTGCAGTGATCTATAGATTCTGTGTTGCAGATTTGATCATGTCCCAGGCAGTTCCAGAAGAGATTTTTCTTGGACTTTCACTTCACACCTTGTTTTGCTTTCAAGTATTGCATGCAAATTTCCATTTCCTTACAGTGTTTTTCACTGGAAAAAAAATAATTGGAAGTATTTAGATAATTTTTTAATGCTTTCCCCTACTTTGTTAGACTAGACTTTGTTTAACAACTTACCTTGAAAGAAAAAAATACAATAGCATTTGAATCAATTGAAAAGAACCATCCACAATTCCTAATTTAGCAATGCAATGTAACATCACAACATCCATTCTAGAATTTTCATGACAATTGTCCCTTGGTCTTTTGTATTTAAATATAATGGATGGATCCAATTAAAATATTCAATTGATAAAATTGTTTCTTTCAGCAGAACAACAGGGAACAATTCTATCTTCTCCTAGAAGAAGGAAATGTTGAAAGTTATTATAACTTCAGATGGGAAGTGAAAGTACTCTCATGTTTCAAATGTGCCTCTGAAATCCCCTTCTTCTGGTTTCTGTATGTTTTTCACCGCAATGTCTAATTTTATCCTATACATTTGCCCATGTGGGGTTGACCTGTTTGACCAGAAAAAAAGCCACATTTTCCCATGTGGGGTTGACATGTTTGTGGAAAAAAGCCACACATATGACAATGGATGACATAATTAGCAATTTATAACAGGGTGGATTTGATTTAAATCGAGTTGATTTAAATCACAATTTAAATCATGATTTAAATCACTAGTAAAAAGGCTTGATTTAAATCAACTTGATTTAAATCATAATTTTAAAAGAGCAACTGTCATCTCTGCTACTCCTTTGACCCACTGTTGACTCACCGATAGTCCCAGTGTTGCAGAATATACAGCCTCATGCTACATAACTAAGCTCCATTTCATGCTGAATAAACTAAATTATTTATGTATCTTAAATAGAAAACTATCTTACGATAGATCGTTACCTCAAAAGTTTTTTATTAAAATAAATTCGATAAAAATCAAAAAAATCCGATTTAAATAAAAAAAAATCTGATTTTTTTGGTTTTTTTAAAAAAATCATTGATCTTTATCCACCCTGATTTATAATATTATGTATTTATTCTATAACTTGCTTTAATTTGAAAGGTTTCTTTTTTCCCTCTTCCTTCTCTTTTAGTCAACCACCTGCATCTCCCAGCACACAGGAAGCTATCCAAGGAATGTTATCAATGGCAAATCTCCAGTCTTCAGACTCTTGCCTACAGCCTTCATGGGGCACCAATCAAGCTAAGAATAATGCCATCTCTGCCACCAACTCCAAAAAATCTGGAAGCAGCAATAGCAAAAATGCAGGCAAACGATTGTTGAAAAAGACTGCAAAAAACAACATTGATATTGAAGATTATGATGAAGACCAGGATCACTTAGATGCTTGTTTTAAAGATTCTGATTATGGTATGAAAATCCTACTTAAGCTCTCCCCTGGATAGTAATCATAGAAAGGCAGTGAAATTTCCAAAGATAGCTCTTCTGAAGCTGAAAAGAGTAGCACCCTGTTTCTTTGTCAAAGTTCCTGAAGCAGAGGCCCAAATAGTTGCCGGTGGTTTGACCTGCACAGCTGATACAAAGTGAACATCACATGCTTTCTCTTTGTGACATAGGGGGAGTTTGCTATAAATTTTTCAGCTGAGAGATTTCAAAATTTCAAAATAAGACTAGCAAAAACTTATGTTTGAATGTGTGTTGAGGCTTATGATACATGGGTTGATTGAAGGCAAGTGTGTAGACAAATCTCTCAGTGTTACTCTTCATCATCCTATCAATTAATACTTTCTCTTCCTGCTTCCAGTTCATTCTGTATCATATTTTACACATTTTAAAAGCAGCTTATGTTGCAGCATGCCAGTTCAATTCTGGGGTAAGGAGGAGAAAAGGGGAAAGTTGTGTACTACCTTTTAAAATTAATGATGGAGTGATTCACTTATTAGTGCTTCATCAAAGTTAGAATAACTTTATTTTTAATGGAATGGTAATAGTAGAAGGTGGGGCGCAATGGCTCAATGGTTAAGGACACTGAACTTGTCAGCTGGAAAGCTGACAGCCCAAGTTCAAGACCGAGCATTGTGCAACAGGGTGAGTTCCCATTACTTGCCCCACCTCCTGTCCAACTATTAGTTTGAAAACATGCAAATACAAAAGTAGATAAATAGGTAGCACTTTGGTGGAAAGGTAACCAATATGTGCCTCGGCATATAGTCATGCTGGCCACATGACCATGGAAACAGACAATGCTGGCTGCCTCAGCTAACCAACAGAGATGAGCACCACCCCATAGAGTTGAAAATGAGTGGACGGGGAAACTTTTATCTTTATCTCTAACAGTAGAAGGAGAACCAGTTTGGTGTAATGATTAAGGCACCGGTCTAGAACATGGGACACTGTGAATTTTAGCCTCCCTTTAGATATAAAAGAAAGTAGGGTGACTTTGGGCCAGTCATTGTCTCAGTCTTAGGAAGAAGGTCATAGCAAGTCACTTCTGAAAATATTGTCAAGAAAACTGTACAGACTAGTTCAGGCAATCACCAGGAGTCAAGACTGACTTAAAGGCAGCAAAAAATAAACTAAAAAAGTGACAATTTGAATATATATAAAATAGTTAGCTAGGCAGGCAGAAACACAGTATTATTTAGCTTCTAATAAATATATAGATATTAGGGACATGCACAACATGCACAACATTGCATTAAAATAGCTGCCCTTGGTACAACTCCTTAAAAAGATGTAATTTCTGCTTTCCGTATCTGATGCGATGAATATATACATATTGAAATTCTCTTAAATTAAATGAAAACGTGACTCTTCATTATACAGATTTGACAAAACATAAACAGATGTTAAAATTACATTACCTGAAGACATATCACTCAAGTTAAATTAACTTTAAAACTCGGCAAAAGTGTAATATAGAGACACGCTCTAAATGTGACATTCTGAAAGAAGAGAAGTTTGTTCTGGGGAGATCAACTTGCTAATTATGTATTTACGCTACCACTTAATAGGTTTGCTTTGTTGTAAGATGGTTAGTCCACCAAGATTCCATTAGTGCCACATCTGGTCAGCACATTTTCATTCAGTGGTTAAACTGATGCAATTACTTCTGGTGTATAAACATTATTGGCCTAACAGAAAAAATGAAAACAGAGTCTCCATTTTGGATAGGTTATTTGGTTAACTTGGATTTATTTCAAACTTTAATGCAATTTAGACTAGAAACTGGGAAATACTGAATGGAAAAGAGAAATGTCCCTACAAAGTAAAAATGTAGTATTAGGGAGCATTGTTGTGGAGAAGGCAGCACACACACACATGTAGGCCTCACTTAGCAACCACAACTGAAACCAGCAATTCTGTTGCTAAGTGCCTCAATTGCAAAGTAGAAAAATCACGTGACCATGACAGACTTACAATTTAATTTAATTTAATTTAATTAATTCAATTTATATGCCGCCCCTCTCCGAAGACTCAGGGCTGCTCACAATACATTTTAAAAAATCATTATAAAAAACATTTAAAAATTAAAAACATTAAAAACTCATTCAAGCCATTTATGGCCAGATCTCGCCAGATCACAAGAGCGTGATCAATGGCCCCAGGCCTGCCGGAAAAGCCAGGTCTTCACCGCTTTTCGGAAGGCCAATAGGGTGAGGATGGTCCGGACCTCAGGAGGTAACTGGTTCCAGAGACCTGGGGCAGCCACAGAGAAGGCTGCCCATGTAACTTCCCTTTAGGTTATTAAGTGAGTTACCACACTTGTAAAGTGAAACATCACGTGTCTCTGACTTGTATTTAACATCCACCTTGTCCATTAATCCTGCTTGTCACCAACTGGTTGGAAAACACTCAAATGATCAACATGGTCATAAATGGACATAGGTTGACAAGTGCTCAAATGGCAATCACATGACCATGGGGCACTGATGATCATAAATACAAGGACTGGTTGCAAAGGGTTTTTTTTTTACATTGCTATAACTTCAGATAGTTCCTAAACAAGGCAGTCAGTAAGCAAAGGCTACTTATAAAACACATATACATACACACACTTATACACACCTACACACACACATAGGTAGTTTTAAACGTCATTCGTTTAAGGACCATTTGAAGTTACAATGCAACTAAAGAAAGTGACTTATGACCAATCCTTGTACTTACAATTGTTTCAATGTCCCAATGGTCACTTGATCATGATCAGGTGCTTGGCAACCAGCTCACATTTATGATGGTTGCAGCATCCCAGGATCACATGACCACCATTTATGACCTTTTCATCTGGTTTCTGACAAACAAAATCAATGGGGAAGCCAAACTGCAGGTCCCAAATGTAGTCCTAAATGGAGGAATCTCCCTCCCTCCCTCCCTCCCTCCCTCCCTCTCTCTCTCTCTCTCTCTCTCTCTCCCTATCCCACTCTCTCTTTCTCTCTCTCTCCTCTCTCTCTCTCTCTCTCTCCACACACTCTCTCTCTCCTCTCTCTCTCCCCCCGTCTCTCTCTCTTTCTCTCTCTCTCTCTCTCTTTCTCTCTCTCTCTCTCTCCACGTGCATGTATAGGGACAATGTGTAGTAGGATTAATGTTTTTGTCCCTGTAATGGAAAATTTTCCTTTCTGTTTGTTTTTTCTTTTTCATGTAGTATTATGGTCCACTTACATATTTGTAACTATAAATAAGAGACAGTTTAAAGTTTTTAAAATTCAGCAAAAAATATTTTTGAAAAAGTTTAAGAACATAAATCACATTGGTCTCTATCTCCTTCCTACTGAACTTTGTCTCATCCTGGGTTATTACCTGAGTAGACTTATTCCGCTGTTTTTCCAACTTGGGAGACCACCCAGCTGCGAAACATAGAAGAGGCAGGAAAAAGCTTCACTCTGCCAGTAGCTAAATCTGTGGCTGCTTCAGGTTCATAACATGGAAAAGCCAAAGTCAGTTATGCAGCCGAATTGTTTTATGAAAATTGAGACGGGTCCATTTTCTACAAGCATGACAGGGTTGCCCTAATTTTTTAATGCCATACCAGACTCTTATTTTTATTTCTTTTTCATGGTTTAGTTTATCCCTCCCTTGAATCAGATGAAGATAATCCAGTGTTCAAATCTCGATCAAAAAAGAGGAAAAGTTCTGATGACGCACCATACAGCCCCACAGGTAATTTTTTAAAAATATATATTTTTTATTTTTACTATATAAAGAAAGAGCAATAGTTTCAATGTCTATATAAACAAGTGTTTTACAGTTAATTTGAGCAATGGTCATCATCATAATAGTAATAATCTTCATTAGTAGTGATCATATAATAACAGTATTTTCTCAACATAATATTAATACTTATTAATTGTTAATAAGTAACAATTATTACCACAGGTAATATTTTTGATATTTTAAATGCAAACTCATACAGGACAAAAACTTGATTGATTCCAGTGATATGTGTACATGGCATACATTGAACTACAATCAAATAAAGTTTAATATGGAAAATATCTTGATCCGAGTAGCTTGTCCTTGCCTGTTAGTACCCAATTTGTTTTCTTTTAATATTACAATTTAATATTACAATTTAATTTATTGAATATTACCTTTTAATATTACAAAAGACAAAGATAGAGAGAAGAGAACTGCACATCATGATTATTTTAAGGATTGGACTTTGGAGGTCAGAACCATAGTATTCTTGAAGAACTTCTACAAAGTTTTCTTGGATCTAATTAAGATCTTCTCAAACCAATTTTGTATTTTGTGCACAAATCATATAATGGCACTGCTTTTACATTTTTTTTGAATATTCTGAGAAGTTTGGGGGCAAATATTCTAAATGCTTTGAAACATTGAGAATGAAAATTGTACTCGGGACCCAATTAGTTCTCTCTCCCGGGGGGGGGGGGGGTTGGGTGGGGGGGGGGAAATTGTGGAAATCATGGTAAAGTTTGCTTTAATTACAAGAAGTTAATAATATGATCATAGAAATATATTTAATAAATCTAGGTTTAACAATGTATGGGAGTCCAGTCTATATATTTATGGAAATAGCGCTTAGACTTATATATATTGCCCCACAGTGCTTTTTAGCCCTCTCTAAGTGGTTTACAGAGTCAGCATTTGCCCCTAAGAATCTGGGTCCTCATTTACCAATCTCGGAAGGGTGAGAGTCCACCTTGAGCCCCATCAGGATCGAACTCCAGACTGTGGATAGAGTTAGCCTGCAATACTGCATTCTAACTACTGCGCCACCAGGGCTCAGGGGTTTATTTTTTGTATTACAGGGTTTGTATTTGTTTCTTTGTAGTGCCTGAAATAGTTATATTCCTGACATTAGCAATATTTGTGGATTGTATATGCACTCCATTACCTGTTAGCTTTACTGTCCATTTTTTCTTCTGCATTTAGCAAGAGTTGGTCCATCAGTACCACGGCAGGACAGACCAGTCCGAGAAGGTACAAGAGTTGCTTCTATTGAGACTGGACTGGCAGCAGCTGCTGCCAAATTATCTCAGCAGGTGAGCTTTCCAAACAGGGCCCAGCCATCGCTTTCCCAGAATGTTGCTTTTGGGGAACATTTCATGGAACATTGTTGTCCGTGAACAAATTACTAATGAGAAGATTTATCAAAGGAGGCCCTGCTTTTGGTCTAAAGAATTATTCTATTCTACAATCCTCAGAGTTATATGGAAAACCAGCCAATGCTGAACATTGTCCTTCTAAATCATTTTGAGAAATGTGCTTGGAATGCCATGTTAGTCTCTCAAATGGAAGGACTTTTTGGAATTGATATTGACTTCACTTCCTAAAGGTGCAGATACCTGAAGGCAGCCCCTGATCTGCTGCTTCCCTTACCACTCTGCCTCTGTTGCCATTTGGCCCTCCTTTTCTCCACACAGTCCCTCTATTCACTGCTTCTCCAATGAGGCAGCTTACTGCACACACTTACTCTCCAAGTGGCCACCCAAGAAGTGTCCTTCTGAACTGTCTTCAGCCCAGTTCAGGTAAACATGCCAACCCCATCACAGTGCATTGATCTAATGCACCTATTAGAGGACTACATATAGGGCAGCAAAGTAAATTTCGGATTGCTGCAAACCTTAGTCCCAAAGGTTATTTTTTTTCCAAAAGGCAATTGGACTATCTTGGTTTTTTTTTCTGCTGAATCAGTTTTTGAAGTTGTATCAATTGATTTGAGGAGTTATGGTCAATAAAGGTCCATAAATGGTATCCTTTCAGAAACCAGTTCTGCACTTTTTTTGTGTGATATCATTGTTTCACATCACTTCTCAATGAAGTCCATAGCTTTCTGGCTTGATTTGTTTTTTTATTAAAAGTGTAGCAGCTGTGTAGTAAGATATTTCATAATATGCATGACATCTAAAAGCTAAATACTGCATTTCATTTCTTAATATTTGTCAGTATTTTTTCCTGTTATCACAAAGGAATCGCATGATTTCTAAAAAGTATAAAACAGTTCTAATCATTAATATGTTTTCAGCAACCTTAAATTACTTACAGAGATACAACACACACAATTCATGGAAAAAACTTACACAACAGGCAAATATCAATGGAGCATTTTTAGGATCAACACCCATGAATGGTTCTGGAAAATCAAATTATTGACAAATAATTTGGTGTAAGATTAGAAAATCAGCCACTCATCTATTTTTTAAAAAAATATTCAATTATGTCTCTTGGTCTGCATTTTTCCCAATGCTCATCACATTTCTTGCATACATTGTTTGAGTAGGTGTCAGTTACAAAGAATCAGGGCCATATTTTACTTCGCAGTTCAGAAGATTTATTGCTTAAGCCTATACACAAGAATCTAGTCAATTAAAGTTCAGTATTAAATTAGCATCAGATAAGGCTCAACAGAATTCAAGAGGGGTTTGACCAGTGGTAAAATCCAATTTTTTTTACTACCGGTTCTGTGGGCGTGGCTTGGTGGGCGTGGCTTGGTGGGCATGGCAGGGGAAGGATACTGCAAAATCTCCATTCCCACCCCACTCTGGAGTCAACCAGAAGTGGTATTTGCCGTTTCATCGAACTACTCAAAATTTCCGCTACTGGTTCTCCAGAACCTGTCAGAACCTGCTGGATTTCACCCCTGGTCTGATTTATAGTTTCTGGGAATGTAAGGACTCTAGGCTAATGATTTGTTTAACTCTGACCCACAGCGCTACCTGATCTTCTCCTACCTCAGGACACTGTCCTTAATGACTATTTATCACTTTTGAAAGCTAATGATTGTTATTTCTCTCTCCCCCTCCCCTTCCTTTATCATGTGAAAGGAGGAGCAAAAGGGCAAGAAGAAAAAGAATACCAAAAAGAAACTATCTCCCAACAATGCCAATAAAATTCCTCAGGAAGGCAGCTCTCCTGAACCTCGGCTGGAGTGCCATAGCAGTAGTTTAGCAGACCATGAGTACACAGCTGGTGCCAGCACACTTGGGGTGGCCCAAATGAACAGAGGCCCTCAGCCCATGGCCCCGGGAGTTTTCCTTACACAGCGGAGAGCCTCATCATCATCACAGAATAATGCAGCTGCCAAAGGTACTTTCCATAGATTTGTCTCAAGAATGGTGTAAGATTTGGTCAGCCAATCAAAGGTTTTTTTGGTGAGGCTCAAAATTATTTATTGATTCATTTGTGTATCTGTTTGTTTATTTGTTTGTTATTTACCTTTTTATAAAATTTATTGGCCACCCATCTTAACATAGAGTAACTCTGGGCGGCTTACATATCTCAACATGTCTTGCCTTATTATCCTATTTTATTTTATTATTTATTTTCTTTAAATTGAAAGCACAATCAAGAAAAAAGAAAAAAAATGGAAGAGATTTATAAGCAACATCAAATGGAATAACTTTCAAAGTTGCATTGGATTAATGCTGCATATAAATATGTTTTTCTATCAATGAAGCACTTAAAAATCATTGTTAATATGAAATCCATATTCAGTAATTAACGGAGGCAAGCGGTATAATAAGAGTCATCAGAATAAATAATTAACAGTGAATTTCTATCTCATCCAAGATCTCTATTATAAAAAAGTGTAATATTCGTATTGAAAAAAAAGCAGCTTTGAGACAACCATGACCTGGATAACTGAGAATCTTCATAGACATTTGTAATATTTATAGTAAATAATATTTATCTTTCATGAGTATTCTCATTGTTACGTATTAATTGTCATGCTTAACTTATGAATCCATTTAATTATACAATCTTTGACATGTTTAATTTTTGAGTCGCATTTCCATAATAATTTACTCAGTGTTCTGAATTTTGTTGAAAGTTTTTCAAATTCAACTAAGTTTCTAAATGGTCCACCTTAGTTTTGCAATTTGTTTTGAACTGCACTACTAAATATATTGAATATATATGAATATATTAAAACCAATGAGGCATTTCTGATCAGTCTAAGGGAGAATTTTGAAAGATTTCACCTTTTCTTTAGTTAGGCATTCATTCAAACAAATTTATATAATTTAGATGTATAAAATTGATTAAAATTTCATCAATCAATGTTTTCTGTATTTTTTTAAATAAATTCCCAAGTACTCAATAAGGTTAATAGTGATGTTAAAACCCTGGTACTTGTTATAAATATTACTTTTCCAATTCAGATACCTTCCAAGTAGTAATTCGAATCTTAATAATCTGATATGTTCTTCACATTTGTCTGAAAATTAGTACTTCAGATATTTTGAGGTTCACCTTCACTAAGGAATGTCTCCATGCCATGCTGAGTGCTACATTCCCGAGGGCAACTCTCTTGTAGACTCAGTGTGTCAGGCACAAATAATCAGGAACATTCATTGAGTTCAAAGCACAGAAGAGTTTATTATTGCTACCTTTAATACAAGAATCCAGTCAACTAACAGTCAAATCTAAATTGGCATTAAATGAGGCTCAACAGAATTCACGGGAGGCTGTACTTGTGGCAATGCAATGACTCCAAACTGATGACACGTTTAACTCTGCCTTCTAGTTTAGCCTGCTCTTCTTCTACACAATGACAGAGAAAATAAAGGAAGAGGTAGTACCAGAGAAATTACTAAGAGAGCTAAGATAATTGCATTCTTTACACAGTTCATCCTCAGATATTCATTAAATAATACTTGAAGAGAAGTTTAGCTTTTTGTATTTTGTAACTTTTTTCTAATTGAAAGATTTTTCATTCTTAGAAGTGGCAAAGCAAATTTCATTTAATTTATTTCCCAATGGAATTGGGTAAAATATGGATATCAAGAAAATGTGAGGATCTCTTAAAGCAGCAGTCTCCAACTTTTGTGGCTTGGCGGCCCAGCTGGGGGAGGAGGGAACTGGACCACGTGAGGGGCAAGTCTGTGCACATGTACGCATCCTTTATGCAAGCAAGGGGCTGGCGCATGAGCATGGCTCACTGGCCCGCCACTTGCACAAGTTGCACTTGCTCCACCAACCACTCATGTGGCCCAATTCCAAACAGACCATGCTCTGGTAATGGGCTGCCAAGCCACAAAAGTTTTTAACCAAAATCAAAGTATTTAAACTTTGAATATAGCTTTCAGATCATTTAGCTGCTGTCCAGCAATTATCACACATGTAGTATTTGGTAAATCTCAGTTTCTTGTAGTACTCTCAGTAAAGAAATATGCCCCCCCCCCAAAAAAAAAAACCATACAGGTAATATAAACTAGGAGCATCTAGTTCTTTGGCATCATATGGATATTTCAGATGAAAAAAGGTGAACCAATGGCTTCCACAAGACCTGTTTTGTTTTTCTTTCCTGGTACTGTAAATATTCCAGACATTTGTTCATATATGTTTGGAAAGGTGAACAGATATGGAACTGTTCTGAAGAACTAGATGAGTAACAACTGGATTTTACATTTTTCAGAAATGGGGCTTTTGTTAATACTTGATTCTTTATCCCAGCAGCCTTTGGAAAAGTCCTAGCTTCAACCTGATACTGCAATAGTACCAGAGAAAGCTTAGTTTGAAGCCATCTTCCACGTTTATTCTTAATGATCAAATGCTTCCTTTTCTGTTCTTTTTTCCTTTGACTAGGAATTCTGAGAACTGTTGTTCAAATATATTTGACGGCATTAGTTTGGAGAAGACTTTAGTGTATTTTCAATAGTATGATTGCATACATATGGATTTTGACTAACATAAAACATGAATAATCAGTCTCTGTATTTCTTACTTGTCCTGAAAAATCTATGTGAAATACTGTAAATCTTTGGTTTTACAAGTTACTGAGAGTTTATTCACAAAACCCACAGAGATTTTGTTGTAGCTGTCAGATAAAAAAAACTTGTACTCATTTTTATCTGAAAGTAATTGTTTTTATAACCTGAATTGACCATCCAGGATATTGGCACATATGAAGTATTTGTTTTATTATGAGAGAGGCATGAATGGACAAAACAACGTATAACGGATTACATTATCCACAGAAACACTTTGGAAATGGGTCCCAAGATAGATCAAATTGTAGCCTTTCCTAATTCAAGAAGCAGCAATGAAGGGAGGAGGCAGGAGATGTCATAAAGAGAATACTTTTAAAAACTCAAATGAATTGAAGATGACACCATTTACTACTTGTTATAAAATCTAAGCACTAATCTGAAATTACCAGTTTAATAAATCAGTTTCATAAACTAATTTAGGATAAAATGGAATAACTAAGCAGCTTTTTCTCAATAGATGAAAACAATTCTACTACACCTTAATGTAGAAGATGATACAATAATAGTTCCTTCTGTGATGTGTCATTTCTGATAGATCATTTGTACATGCAAAAAATTAGTTAGAGCTGCAATAATTTAATAATGTATGTGCTTCTTAATCCAAGGAATAGAGTCATGCAGTAATATAGAGGATTTGGGAATTATCCAATCAAAATATCATTTCAATTTTGAATTGATTAGGTGGCTATAAGCAACTCTTCTCTTCATCCTCAGCCTTATGGGGCAGATAGAGATGCTTAAAGCATTTAACTGGATATTTGTTAAATGCTTTTGTGTTGAAGAGAAATGCAGTTCAATGTTTTCTAAATCAATTTTCAGTTGCATTTGTTTCATCCTTCTTGGTCTTCAACTTCTAGGTTTTTTTGGTTGCTGCTGCTATTGTTTTCTGGCTTACCGTGTCTCTCTTCTGTTACTTCCAGGGAAACGTACAAAAAAAGGCATGGCTACAGCTAAACAAAGGCTTGGGAAGATTTTGAAAATTCATCGGAATGGGAAACTTCTCCTTTAAAATCCGGTCATAATTGGGACTATCAAAGCTCAGCATGTCCTGAGCTGTCACGCTAGCTCTTCAACTCTTGAAGGACTCCAGTAGTATTGTGCAACATCTTAGGGACAATACCAGTTAACTTTTTGCCACCACTTTAATAAATTCTTTTTAACTTTCGGCAGTTAAAACCTGTACAGATACTGCTATAAATATTTTTTAATATAGATGTCCTTTCTCAAATTGCTGAGAGTGACTAGTTCGCAAAAAGTTAATACTCCAAGACACTGAGGATCATTCCAGTTTTAGGAAAGTATCCCTTTAACTTGTTTATAAGTAAGGAAAAAGCTGTTGTTTTTAAGAGTATGCACATTCATTTCAATTATGCTTCTTTTATCAAAGTTGAATCAATTTTAAGAGGTATCTGGTTAAAAGGCAGAGTTTTTTTAAAAAAAGTTTCTCAAATTGACTTGTAGACAAGGGAAAGAAATTTATGCCATGAATAATTGAGATACAATACATGCATGAAACAATATGCATAAAGAATTAATCTAGCTTTCTTTATCTGGCTCATGATAAATATGTTTTATTCAGAAGAGAGGTTAAAATTGCACTTCAGTACTGCTAAAACTTTCCCTATAACCAGACATTGGAGAACTATTGTTGACTTAATTTATTTTATGTGCAATGCAAGATGATTTTTTAAAAACATTATGGATTACAAATCCAACTTAATTGGGTAATGATTTGGATATAGTAATTAATGAACTGGTGCAGTTCTTTGGACATCAAAAGGGTTTTTTAATTAGCTTTGGTTGGTGTTGGTTTGCATCTCTTTTCATTGATAATTTTTTAGCACTCCCACTGTTTCTTATATATATTGTTTTAACTTTGGTCCCATGGTATATTGTCCACGCTCAATGTCTTTCTTCTCATAATTGAATATCAATGAGTGATAGGAATTAAAGATCAGCAAACAGATACAACCCTTCTCTCCCTGCTAAACTCTCACAATTATGTGTAATTGAGTAAAACATTACAAATCAATTGGTACCTCAAAGTTAAAGTCTGAGAACACTGACTCTTACTGTACTTATATAACATGGTTTACAGCCTACAGAGGCTAAAGCAAAATCAAATCAATTGTACTATATCTTAGTATGTTGCGTGGGCCATCATTTTAAACTGTCATTGTTTGCTTTGGCTTCTCATGTTGTGTGAATAGAGCCACCGTGTTTTTGTAAACCATAGTTAATGAATTAATGTGTTTACATCCAGTCTGAATTTGATGATTTATTTATCTTTCTCTCACCTGTTCTAGCTAAAAATTTGTTTACATGACCATGGAAACTGGAAGTATTTCTTCCCCCATATACATAAAAAATGTGTATTTTTTATTCAGCATTGCTGTTTTGAAATTATATCACCATTAATTTAATTTCATGGTAGGGTGGAATCCACCATTTAACTTGATGATAGCATTGTAGCTTCTGCTTGGGTGCTCATAATGCACTGATAACGTGACATTGGAGAATATGTAGGAAAAGAGACGCCAGGTTGATCCCAAGATACTGCTGCCAAAACCTTTGTTCTGCAAAGTGACAAAGTGTCAGTTTTCTTGATGCAACCTGAGTGGGTATCAGCAGGGGTGAAATCCAGCAGGTTCTGACAGGTTCTGGAGAACCGGTAGCGAAAAGTATGAGCAGTTCGGAGAACTGGCAAATACCACCTCTGGCTGGCCCCAGAGTGGGATGGGAATGGAGATTTTGCAATATCCTTCCCCCAGGAATGGGGAGGGATTGGGGATTTTGCAGTATCCTTCTCCTGCCACGCCCACCAAGCCATGCCCACAGAACTGGTAGTAAAAAAATTTGGATTTCACCACTGGGTAGCAGGCATATCACCATCATAATCATTAGACAGGGCTGTAAAGCACTGTGAAGCGGTATATAACTCTAAGTGCTGTTAGTATCTTATAAAATGGCATCCTTAGTCAAATATCTCTGTCCTTATTTCTTTGAAGGGGCTTTTAATCTCCCTCTAGCAATTCACACTTAAGTTCATGACTGATGATTTACCTCATAAATCACTTACGTTATCTTGAGATGAAACGGATGAAGACAATGGTTCCTTTTTCACCTCCATTTCCCTGGATCATGGATTAATTCCTGGATCATATAAACAAATCAAGCAAAGAAGCTGTTGTCCTGGGACCCCAAGCACTTATTTTCTGATCTATAACCAAACCCTTTTCCTTGAGCTGCATATCAGGAGAAAAAGTGCCCCAAACAAGATTATTTTTCCCCCAGAAAGGAATACACACAAACTTTTTAAAGCTTATGAATCCATTTAGTAATATAATAGATCAGCTGTTTATATATAAACCACAGTTGCAAATCCTGTAATGAAGTAGCAAGAATGTGCAGCCCTATCAGAGGTATTCTGACATTCACATCCATCCAAGCACTTCCTTCAGATATGCTTGTCTGAAGGAACAAGGGCTGTGCTCACCTAAGGGTCAGGCCAGATGAGAGCCAAGCTTATGGACAGTTTAACTGGATACTTATTGCTTCTGAACTCTCTTAGTTTTTGGTGTAGAATGCATTATATTTTACATTAAACTAGCTTGTCTGCATATAAACACTTAGAGCACAATCCTATGCATGTTTACTCAGTTATCAAACCTGTCATGTTCCATGGAACTTACTCTCATGTGTAGAGTACTATGTACAGGATTGTAGCCTTAAGGCGTTGCATTTGTTTCTCAGGCAATTCCAGATTTTCATTTATAGATATGTGTCTGAAAGCATATTTTTTCATAGAATCTAGCCTGTAAATAGCTTTTTAAAGTACCTTCTTTTTTATAAGATCGAAGTATCTTTAGACATTTCTTTCTATAGAATAGTTCATTAACCTTTATACAAATTTTTTGCTGAGTATTTTGCCGAGTATTTTAGGTTCTTGACTCTGAAAGAGATACTCTGTTTTTGTCCTCGATTTAATTCCTTTTTCTCCCTTTTTTAATTTTGGCATTGCCTGAAAAACAAGTAAAACTTTGTGCAGCCTTATACAGAATCAAATAATAGTACAAAATTATCTATTTAAGATACAATATGAAGAAGAATCTTCGACTTTATAATACCAGCTCCTTGTCTCAATTCTTGTATTATGAGGGGATACAATTATTTTATTAGCACCTTGTGAAGTGTTTCTGTGTTTTGTGATGATGTAATTTATTAATGTTTGTAGCTTTTTATATTTGTACATTTCTTATGAGCTTTGTTTATATACACATTACCTGGATGTGATGTCCATGAGGAAAAAATAAAACAGCTATAGAAAACAACTGAGGCCTTATTAACTGACCTTTCTAGTTATGGTGAGGGACTGGGTCTGAATTCTTGGCGTCAAAAATGTTAGTTGAATAGGGCCCCAGAGTTAAGCAAGTTTTTTAAAGCTTCCCTAGTATACTGTTATTGTCAAGCATTTATATAATATAACACAGACATCATGCTGGTTTTATTATTATTATTATTATGTTTATGTTTATGTTTATGATTATTATTTTCACAACATGTACATTTCTAACAAAGTTTATTGTGGCTATCTATTACAGTGTTTTATTTACCAATTCATATCAAATGCTCTTGTATCAAGTCCATGAAATCTAAGTAAACTTAGATCAAAATTTTAAAAGTAAAATATTTCAGGTTTTGTATAGAATTTGTGTTGGTGTGTTTATTTATGTACTACATTTAAGTTGTTCTCCACCAGTGATTGAAGAGCATTCCATGCTTTGTTGCTTTCAGAGATGGTTTCCTACCAAAGCATGCCAGTTCTTAAAGGCACATCTTCAGCTTCAAGTCAATATAGCGCAATCAGTATAGGAATCCTAATAAAATGGATGATAATTCTTGGTCCCAGAAAATGAAAATTTTCCTGTCCTACACAACCTCAATAAAGAAACCAGTTTGTCAATTCCCATCTTTTAAAAGCCATTTCTCTTCCTGAACAAGGATAATCATAGTGACTTTTAGTTCTTATTGGTTTGTGTGTTATTTAGCCAGTGACCCAGTCACTTTAATTTCATACTGCAAGCACTGTTTGTGCTTATATTAGTCTGGCCTTATGCTTAGCTCAGCACAACCGTGCCTTAGCTGCTGCCATTTTACTCTGTTCCAACAGCAAGGAATATAGGGAACTCAAGAGTTGAACAGTTAACTTCTTGGTATTCTCTGGGCTTTATTGCTTTCTGGAAGACCTGTCATTACCTGGCTGGGTAACATCAACAATGCAAGGGAGAGTAGCGTTTGCTGGCTGTTTACCCAGTATATAGCCATGATGGCGAACTTATGGCATGCGTGCCAGAGGTGGCACATAGAGCCCTCTCTGTGGACATGTGCACCATCATCAGTTTCTCTTCTGGTTTTGCGTGCAGGCCAGCTGGTCTTTGTGTGCACCAGAGCACCAGAAACCCGAAGATCAGCTGGCCAGTGCACAAGTGTGCGCCAGAAACCCAAAGACCAGGTAGCCGGTGCGCACATGCACACCGGACAGCTGGTCTTCAGATTTCCATTGCTCTGGTATACGTGTGTGCAAGTGCGCATGTTCCAGTTTGGGCACTTGGTACTGAAAAGGTTCGCCATCACTGGTATATAGCTTGCCCAGCCAATTTTAACTGGGAAAATATTAAAATTCTACAGCAGAGTTTCTCAACCTTGGCAACTTTAAAATGTGTGGATTTCAACTCCCAGAATTCCCGAGCCAGCACGTTGAGAACAAATCCTGGGAATTCCTGGAAGCTTGACATTCAGACAGATTGACCATTAACAGACACATAGAAACAAACCCTATCCATGTACCATTTAAGAAAAGATGTAACAGAAGTCAGTGAAGGAAACAAACAACCCATCTTCCTTAGCAGCCAACATCCAGATAAGCAGGGAACAGCACCAGCTAAACATCAAAGAAGAAACAATATCCTAAACTAGGTACCATCAAGGAAGAAACTGCACCTCAGCCAATACTGGTAGGGCAACCTTTATATCAACAGCCAGAAAACTCCAGTGTGGAGTAGGAAAAAGAAATGCAGTGTTAATGACGCTGTATTATAAATACACCAGTCAAAAAACAAGCATCTCATTCTCATGTAAAGTTTATTTAGGGATCACGAGATGCATGTCAGCCTGTAGAGCAGGGCTGTCAAACTCACGTTGTCATGGCGGCATCATATGACATATCAGGATTTCCCCCCCTTCACTAAACCAGGTGTGGGCATGGCCAGCGCGTAACGCATCCAGCTCATGGGCTGGGAGTTTGACAGCCCTGCTATAGAGTGTAGGGTGTTTAAACTGTACAATAACAACCCTAACAATTATCTATTGATTTGGATCTAGATATCTGTATGTACTATATGTACTTTTATTTAAATTGTAAGTGTAAACAGTAACATAAAAAATGGTATTTAAGAGCTGACATCTTTATATCTCCCATGAGTAGAAGGAACCATGCAATTAGCCTGAATACTTCCTTGCTGTTGGCAATATCAAGGCAAAATTGCTCTTTCTGTTCGTGAAGAATTGTAAAATGGGGCTGGGGATTTATTTACTATACAGTTTTTATATGGCTGTCCAAAGTGTGACTAATGTGACTATAAACACTATACAAAAAATAAATAAATAAATCAATGAACAAAGATATTAAAACATGGCAACTAAAAATATAATTAATTAATTAATTGGGAATTCAAATTTATTGCATTCTTCTAACCATCCTGACTCAGGTGTTCCAGGAAAGAGCCAGGTTTTCACTGCCTTTCCTAAATGGCCTGGAGGGTTAAGGCCATTCATATGCTGAAAGAAGCCAGTGGGCAGGAGCTGCAGTAGAAAAGGTTTTTTTGGTCGCAAAAGATGACATTATTTCAAAGGGTGGGGTGGGGAGGGACCCAGAGCAGGCCCGCCCTATTGGGTATCATTGAGAGAAGACGATCCTGCAAATGGGCTGGCAGTTTGCCTTGTGGGCTATAGGTGATAACCATTACCTTAAATTGCATCCAGAAGCCTGTAGGAAGCTAGCACAGCTTGCAGGTAGTGGTGTTACATCTGGGTATTGAGCAACGCCAATAATTACCTGTGTCACTGTGTTCTGGACATTGTAATTCTAATTGTAGCTCCAAGGCATCCCCAGGCAAAGTGTATTGCAAGAATCAACAGGAGGATTGAGATGTCCGTAAGTGAGGCCTCTTGATCTGGGAACAAGGACAATGATGCACATGAAGGTTGTGCAAATTTGGTAAAGCAAACATGCAGGTGCTTAATGAAGTTGGCAACTAGCATAAGTATCTTGGGAGCAGTGGTGAAATGTAAAATTTGTTACTACCGGGTTCTGTGGACGTGGCTTGGTGGGGTGTGTGTAATCTGACTAGGTGGGCATGGCCAACTTTTTTTTTTTTTTTTTTACTTTTAAAAGCATTTTTTCTACAACCTTAAGAGGTTGCAAAAAAAAAATGCTTTTAAAAGCCTCTGACGATCAGGCAACTTAGCTGGGATCGTCAGAGGCTTTTAAAGGCATTTTTTTCTGCAACCATTTGTCTGAAATGGTATAGAGTTCCTGCCAGAGCAGGGGGTTGGACTAGAAGACCTCCAAGGTGCCTTCCAACTCTGTTATTCTGATCAATTCTGTTAAGATGCATGATGCATTTTGCTGCCACCAGAGACTAACATCACTCTCATCAATGTGCCCAATAGCAGAGCAAAGCTGTAGATCTAAGAGACTGGCAGGATGCATACTCAGAAAACCAAGGATTTAGTCTGAAAACTGTACATGGAGCATGTGGGACATGTGGGAAAGATAGGAAAGAACATGTTGCAAAACTGGAAGAATATTTTTCTTGGACATTGAAATGTTTATTCTTGAGCTTTCTGTAATGTTTGAGTACCATAGCTTAGCACAAGAACTAATACAAAGGTGAGATGCATTGAAACTAATGGGGATTGTTCTAATTTTATAAGCACAGGGTATATATCTAATCATTTGTATCCTGATTTTTTCAATTCTGAAAGTAGTGACCTAGAAAATGCAAAATTATATGATAATCTATTTTACATCCTGGTTTAATTTCTTGTAACAATTAGTCTGGAAAGACACTTTCTAAATTCATTGTCTGTGTGCCAACTAGAAGACATTTTTTAAAATTTAATGTTTATCGTCCACAAGATGGCGCTCTGCTTCTGCATCAGAGATACCGTACCCTATAGTTACTTTTTATAAAATAAACAAAAAGGATAGTTCTAAAATGAGAACAAAACCTGTTTAATATTCAGTCTCAAGATTATTCCAGTAGTAGATATTCTCGAGCAGATGGCCATTTGGAATGATTGACTGGGTCAGAGAAGTTGTGCCTATCTTGACCTTGTACAGTGCAGGACCTCTCAGTCCAATGCACAAAAATTCATTCTGTATCATACCAACATTAAACCAGTTGGAGTGATAAAAAACAATTCCCAAATCCTGAATTTGGCTTGGAAATGGGCTGGCTGCCAATTCAGCTGATGGAAACGTTGGCAACATGATCCTATCAGTCAGATCCAATTACTAATTTTACAGCTGAACTACTTAAAGTTTCTGTATTGTCCTGAAAGGTAGTTCCCTGTGCAGCTCATTGCAACAATCCAACTGAGAAGTTATCAAAGTACAAACCGGTGTAGCTTTCCCAGCCCAGAAAGTCACAGTTTGTATATTAATCTAGAATAATAAAAGACGTCTCCTCGTGCGGGGATCCCATGAGCACCCTCGAAAGAATGCCTAACACCTTCCAATGTAGGCTGAAGGCCACTTATATGAACTCTCTTGAATAATACCTTCCCCACATCTAGAATGTTGTTCAACCCATTGGCCTTCATTACCTTGATCAGGTACAGATTTAGAACACCTATGGCCTATTAGCTGAACAGAACAGAACAGAACAGAACAGAACAGAACAGAACAGAACAGAATAGAATAGAATAGAATAGAATAGAATTCTTTATTGGCCAAGTGTGATTGGACACACAAGGAATTTGTCTTTGGTGCATATTCTCTCAGTGTACATAAGGAGAATAAAATACACTCTTCAAGAATAAAAAGATACAACACTTAGTGATAGTCAAGGTTACTAATAAGCTATCAAATCGTACTAGGAAACAAGTAAAAACAATATAAATTGAAAGATACAAGCACATGGTTATAGTAATAAATGGGAAGAGATAGATACTAGTAAGGAAGAGAAGAAGAATAGTAATACAGTCTTAGTAAATTATTTGACAGTGTTGTGGGAATTAGTTGTTAAGAAGAGTGATGGCATTCGGGAAAAAACTGCCCTTGTGACTAGTTGTTCTGGTGTGCAGTGCTCTTTAGCGTCATTTTGAGGGTAGAAGTAAAAAGAAGGTAAAAGTGGGTGGCATTTCCATATACAGACCACTGGGCATTCCATACACAGGTCATTGCTTGCCATCTTACTATTCTATGATTGCAGAAACAAACATGTGCATATACAGAGGCACATAACTGCTTGCATTTTACTACTGATTTCTATATTGTAGACTGTTCTGAGAATATAAGTAAAAGATTGCATATCTAAATAAATAAGTACTGTTCTTCTCTAATGTGCTACCTTCTAGATGCAAGGGATTGTGCTAGTTCATTAAGGCAATGCATACAGGTGGTCCTTGTTTAACAAATATTTA